GTTGAATGGCGCTAATGCGAGTGCTGCGTTGAGCGCTGGAAGATTCGTTTGAAGCGATGGCTGGTGTAGGTCTTGTAGGTGACACGTACAGACATGTTTAAACGCACACGTTTAAATGCGTCAGGGTTGTGGAGAGTGGGCCGAGAAATCGGTGGTGTAGCGGGCGGCGGTCACGGCAGGTGTTGCGGGAGAACGGACGAGGAGGAGCTGCAGGCGCCACGGCGAGCACGCGGCACGCGAGGAAGAGAGCGACGTTGGTGCGCGATGCGAGGGGAGCGTGACGTCAGCGTGCAGCAGTGGTGCGACCAACTTGGCACCGCGCCTACACCTGCGGCGTGCGGTGCGTTGTAAGGAGGGAGAGCGTTACACAGGCTAGTCAAAGAGCTGCTTCGCACCTAAAAATGAACATTAGACCTGTGAGAACAAGTGCATGTGCTGCTGCACACGCGCTCGTACAGCGGGTGTAGTCCTCTATAGTTTCGTTTATAATCTCCATATTCATTTGTTTTGTGGGCTGTAGTAATAATGGAACAACTATATAAGGCATTACTACCGACTGCAGCGCTGTGTGATTACACACGCTCAGCAGCCGCGGCAGAGAAGAGAAAGAAGACAGAATAAGCAGTGATGTCTCTGTTTATGCTGTGATAGTTATTATGCATGCTGTAACAAATACCAACTTGCCCAACTCACCACTCTCGCGGATTGGTGCAGATTTGTGTGTGCGGGGAGGGGGGTGACAATCCAATCAAAACAACTTTTCTCGCGAAGTTTCGTCACCACGGGAAATCGCGTGTCTGAAATCTGTAATTCTCTTTTTTCTTCTCAGCCTCAGCCCGCCACTTCGTTTCGCGCTTATTCTCGGAATCTGCAAGTGCGTCATTCGGCGCTTGCTGTTTTTCCTAGAAGACGATCACGAAGAGCAGCAGCAGTGCCTATTGGGAAACAGAACGGAAGTTGCACTTTCCTTGCTTTCTTTTGTGCCATGCGGTGGAAGCTTGGGAAGGTACGGAAGGTGGCGGGTGAGAGGGTACGTGGTGCATCACTTCTAATCCCCCATCACGCGCTTTCCGCAGTCAGTTGATGGAGAACACAGCCGTAGCAGAGCAGATCGGCACTGGTACCTGAAGCGAACACAACGTGATGGCACGTCATGGAAAATTCGAATTAACCCCGAATTCCACGCCCTTTTCGCAATTGTACAGCTTTGTTCCAAACTCTCTGACTTGCGTTTGTAGTGTAGCTCTGCCTGGTTGAAGCCAGTCTACAACTTTTTTTTTTGCCTTCCTTGGTTCACCTGGCTTCGTTTAATTCTCTTTTCACCATTCACTCAGCACAAAACACGACATGTTCATTGGAAAACAGGTACACAGGCAATAGAAGATCTAGAAATAAAAAAAGAAACAACAAAAAAAGAAGAGAGGTGGCTTAAGTAGTAATAACTCAGCATGAGAAAAATGAAGGTTCCTAAATGCGTGTATAAGCGCTAAGGATGAGAAAAGAGAAAAAAAAAAAGGAAATTGGATTCAGAAACAAAAGACTTGCTCGACTTTTGGCAGAATTAGAAAAAAAAATAAACGCACAACTTGGGGCTGCAGATCTTGGGAAGCTACCGAAGAGACAACGCAGAGGCAAGAATGGGCTCCTGTACCAGGGTGCTGTGAGTACGCGCACTCAACATACAGTGGCACGTTCGCAGTTTCTTGGTTTCAGCCAGAACTTTTTGTATTTCAGCAGCACGCGGTCTTGGCACAGGGTGCCATTTGCTTTTCGCAGCCGTTCACGTTTTCTGTTCGAGGACCCATTCCAGGTTTCCCGGCGTTGCTGTTTGCACCGCGAGCTTGTAGGCGACGGGAGCGGATTCGCGTTCACTGTTTGCGCTTCACATTAGCTGAATATCAAGAGCATATATGTGACTTTGTTTTCTCCATCGTCACTTGTATTAGACGAAGACGTCACATTTTCGTACAATGTGAACTCGGCTTCTTATCTACTGGCTCGTCTGCTGCGCCTGATTCATTTCGAAACACTTACGCTGATCATACTTCGGGAGTGCAGCAGTCGGCGCCGATCAAATCATTTAGCGAGCGCTGCCGCCAGCTCTCTCCAGCGTGTGGTAGGCTTCTTGTGTGTACATGTGCCCACCTACAAGAGGCCATACATCCTTCATTCTTCACTCGAGTTTCTTTCCTTAATTCATTTAACCATTTTTTCGCACTCTCTCACTAATTGTCTGCCATTAGTTCTTGTCATTTCTAACCTCTTTCTCTTCATTCTTTTTCTTTTAGCTTACATGCACGCGCAGAACGTATATGTAAAATTCGAAGACACTCCACTATGTGAAGGTAGGTGACCAGCAAAGCTGAGAGGTGTGCACGGTGGTATCGCAGAAAGTTTAACGTCATCACGTGCAAATTATAAAAAAAAATATTTATCGCACCGTTCTTTTTTTCATCTTGCCTGGTGAGCGCTGTCACACAGCCTGCGAAGACGTCACAGTCACGCAAAAGCGGGGACATTGAGCTCTTCAGTTCAATCGAGAAAAAAAGAGTTTGCTTTGCCCATTCATGTAAGCAATTGTAATATGCAGTTGAGCGCAGATTGTCTCAACTTGTTCTTTTTATTTATCCTACAGAACGTTGCAACAACAACAACAACAACAACATCATCATCAACAACAACAACAACAACAACAACAACAACAACAACAACAACAACAACAATAATAATATTAATAATAATAATAATAATAATAATAATAATAATAATAATAATAATAATAATAATAATAATAATAATAATAATAATAATAATAATAATAATAATAATAATAATAATAATAATAATAATAATAATAATAATAACAATAATAATAATAATAATATGTGAATGAAGGCATCGGGATTTTGTATTGATGCACAAGTGTGGAATAATTTCCTGAATTTATTTGCTATTCAATAAAACAAATATACAAAAAGTACTCAGAACAAAATTATGATCTCACGTTTGAAATGATGAATAGTTAGAGAGAGGGAGTAAAAACTGTTGCCGAATTAGTCAGATGCCTTTACCTGCACTACCGGCCTCCTTGAAAGAGAATAGATACTACCGATTTTTATACACTCCTATACTTACCCCATCAGTTAGTGACTCATTGAATCTGGTCTTTGGTAAAAATTAAAAGAAAGAAAAGGAGAAGGCAGTGTTGAAAAGTATACCATTCCTTTGAGTGCGCCGCAGAAGCACACACGGGACTGGTAGGGCAGGTTAGAACGCGCGTATTCCCTCTACTGAACAACGGAGATGCCTCTCGGGTTAAGCGAATTTTCGAGCACGACTTCTGATAGGCTTATTGCATTATGGGGGATTCGCTCCGTACGCGCTTGAGTATGCCCGCAGAGCCTACCTCAAAGAGCCTACTGAGGGTTTGTCCTGTCTTGCTTATAGTTTTTTTTTTTGCCAATCGATGAATACGAGGTTGGCGGTTCTATGGAAACAGGGAGCCCCGTAATAAATACGTAAACATGCCCCCTTTTCTGGGAACTGGTGTCCTTCCAAATCGAGTATTCAGTTTGCGTTGCCCCATTCAACCAGACATTCAAAACAAGTCTTTTCTGGAAGTCTTCCATTTTCCCTACAAACTAAGAAATACCTAAGCAAATATTTGATTTCTCTCTCTCTCTCTCTATTGCCAGCCCACACGAAGTTGTTGAGTGCAGGGTCCCATTTAAGCACAGGGCATACTACTAGATACTACAGTTCACACTCTTTACGGAACCTCATTATAGGCACGCGCACCCGTTGATTACGCAACGTGTGAGCTGCGTAGGTGCACGCTCGTAGAGCTAAGGACTTTGAAGTTTGTCAACATAAACCGAAGACAGACGTAGGTGCGCACTGTTTATGTTTCGTACTCAAGTAGAGAGAGAGAGAGAAAGAAATACGAAGGAAATACATGGAGTTAACTTGAATGAAACCGGTTTTTCCCTCTACACTTGAGGGAGGGGAAAGCGGAGGAAAGAATAAAAATAACAGCTTTCAGAAATGTTCTAGACTTGTTTGGCTTCTATATATGCTGTGCAAAATGTGGGAGCTTGCGCATGATTATAATACTGATAGGTATAGATTATGTGCAGTGTTCCCGCTTCTATGTATTTCATCTGTTACCTTTAAACGGACCATAATAGTAGTGAGCTGTATAGTTACGCAGCCCACGATACTCCTTGAAATATATGGTCTTCTCTGCGATATTTTTTGTTCACTCATGCAGTGCAGGAAAGTGTGATCACCTGTTTTGTTATAATCTTTAATGACGACGATGCAGTCTTAAAGTAATATTTTCAATATATCCCACGTGTCAGAAAAAATAGTATCGTATATCTACTAAAGGATAGATTAATCTACTAAAGATATCTACTAAAGATAGATATCTGCTAAAGGATAGATATCTACTAAAGATAGATATCTACTAAAGGATAGATATCTACTAAAGGATAGGCGACATGCTGTCGATGTATGTCATCACCGACCACACTAATTGGGCTGCTATATTTCCCTTCGTCACCTACACCTACAATAGTACCCCTCGGAGCAATACTGGGTTTTCGCTCTTTTTCTTACTGAACGGAAGACACCCATCGCACACCACCGAAACGACGCTCCCGTACACGCCAAATCAATTTGAGTGCGCGCCCATTTCGGATGCAGCCAGGCTTGCTGAAGAGTGTCGTGAGCTTGCCAAAAAATTTACGACGAATGACGACGACGCAGTCTTACAGTAATATTTTCAATATATCCTTTGTGTCAGAAAAAAAAAAGTATTGTATATCTACTGAAGGATAGAATAATAGCACCGATTCGCGCAGCCAAACTCTTTGTTCAAATAAAGCAATGTTTTCACGTGTATATTTGGAAGAAGGATATTCGTGATGGCTCCGCCATTTCTGAGCGCACGTTCCTCCTTGGATCACTCGTATGGCTCTCGGTTTCTACTTCTGCAGCTGGCCTCTCATCAAAACTGCTGCCGAAATACCAAGGTTCCTATACAATGTAATCGAGCGAACATCTTCGGTCAACTACCTGATCGAACCAATCGAACAGTCTTCGGACATGCGCTGTCGAGGGTGCGACATTGTTAACGTAGAGCGCCTGAAGGCCTACTATAATACGCTGATAGTGACAAGCTTTGAGGTCACCGGCGGCTCTCTTTTAGTACCCGGGGTAAATGTGGCGAAGACTTGCAACTTAGTAACGCAATTCACTGTCGAGGGCCTTCTAGTGCTTCATTTCGAAAGAGGACGCCGCTCGCGCTGAGAGTCAGTGCCTTGCTGTGACCGTCATCATTACGTGCTATCGCTGATCCAGCTAATGAACGTCTTGACAAATGAAGCCAAGGCACGCACCACCGGTAGAAGTAAAGTTACAACGATGCAGTTTCAGGCGGTCAGTATGTTTGCGCTATTTGTGCTCAGCAATAAGCATGCACAGGAACCTCAAAGTTGGACACTAGCAAACCAGAGTTTTATCTTTACGCTGGTGCTCTCTCTTTCTCTGAGCCCCCCCCCCCCCCCCCCCCCAACCGCCTCCATCTTCGGCCTAACGTGTGGTGTCGATGTTGAAGAGCAGCATTTGAGAGGTTATTTACGCCTAGCAAGTTGCTCACCAGTGTGCACACATTGATACGCCCTGACAATGTTCTCATAAAGAATATTCAATTTACCCCATATTACAGGATATACCGATGGGCGAACGATCTGGATACGACCTTGGTGACGAGGTTAACTTCGATATCGGGCATCGAGACGCTACGAAATGTGAGTACAGTTTGCACGAGAATCTATCATCAGTCCATTTATCTCGAGTTCACTGGAGGACCTTCAGGAGGAGCAATATGTGGAAGCAGTAAAGCATAGACGAATTCACTTGTTTTCGAAAACCACGCAGTGTTTATCAAAGCAAAGCCGATGATAAAAAAGCTTTTCCTAAATATATGTAATAGCACTCATATCACCTCACGCTAATACAGGTGCACTGATATGCGGAATAATAGCCAGTACTAAGCAAGCAGTCACTTACAACATAAGAAAAATGATTTCATGAATAGCATGCAAGGTTTCATATTTGCGTATGATTTGAAGTGAACGCATCTCTTACACTTTTTTAAAGAGGATTCACAAGCTACATAGGTTTAGTGCTTTGAAGAAACGTAATAATTACAGTATCACTAAAAGCGGCTTTTGAAAAGTGTTTCGGCGTTTCTGTTATACACTACAAAAAGTAATTGTGAAGTGACAGACAATATTGTAAGTTCACAATGAATAAAAACAAAATGGTCATGAAGTTGTTAAGAACAATACTGGGTTTTACAGCGTACACGCTAGAGAAGCCTAAATAAAATATAAGATGAGGAACAAGTTAACTTTAACAACACACCCCCGAAAAAACACAATCAGACTTCTCTAGCTAATTTTCTATTTCGAACTATAAGGAATTCAAGTACGAAAAGTTTCGATCACAAGAGCATATGGTTTTTCTCTTTGAATACCAGCCATGCTCTTATATTGTAATTCTCCGCTTATTGTGGCATATACAGAGCTACGAGAATGCCGACAAGTTGAGCCTTGTAGAAGTGAACGGCACGGAGCTGCTGCTGAAAATGACCTTGGAGATGGAGAAGAACTTGCAGCGAAAGAAGAACGCACTCAAGGTAAGATGCAGCAGCCAAGGATTAAACGTTGTCCACGAACAAGTGAAAAGAAATTACGCTCTTTAGAGCCCAAATATATTCATATAATACAGACAGTGTTTGAATACGTCTGCCTATACGATTGTAGTGATTGTGATAGCATGGTGTACATTTCAAGGAATGTTTATTACGTTTATTGTATTTTTTATATCACTGTGCTGACGCAATAAATAATAGCAATAGTTATTTAAGGTATTGATTATGGCAAATTAGATCAAGTATATAATTACTACGACTATCAGACGCATTTTGACCTCTCTTTTTTTACTCTACGTTATTTTCTTCGATAAAATATCTATTTGAACATTCGTTGGTTTAATTAGTGGTTTAGTTTTACGCCGTAAGCTTAACTCTACTCTCTTTCTCTGTTCCTATACATCGCAGCGTTTGGTGAAAAAGGCGGAGGAGGCAGTGGTGAAGCACAAATACGCGTCCGATCTCACGGTAAGTTAGCATAATGTTCACAAACATGTTTTCTTACCTAATGCGTGTGGCTGTTGAGGAAAAATATGAAATTTCCAGTTTTGCCATTGGAAAATCTTGACAAACTGTGATTATTTTAACTTATACGTAACCAGCGAGTCTAATGTCAATGGTTTATGAACCGACGCTCTCTGGGGCTTTTTCTTTCACATTATGGGCGCCAAATTTTGTCTGCTGCTTCGGTGTCTACTGCAGAATAGTAAAGTCCCAAGAATAGTAAAGCCCCTCCCATGCTATAGTTTGATCGCAATGTGACTGTACGGAACGTGTCACCGTACTGAATGCAGTGTAAGTTATAGCCTGATATGTTCTACGTTAATATGGCAGCACTAATGTCTGTTAGTAAAGAGAGAGAGAGAGAGAGAGAGAGAGAGAGAGAGAGAGAGAGAGAGAGAGAGAGAGAGAGAGAGAGAGTAGACGTGCCAGCAATTATCATCTAACCGCTAATCTGACCCCTGGCTAGATTGTCCCCCAATGGTGTTACGGCATTCGGTGTACTGAACAGCGGTGAAGATAGGCGCCGTTGTCTTTAATGCTCACAGGGTATAGAGCAGGTGACAAATAATGATTACGCATGTAATTTGCACCCACTTTACTCATGACATTCAGAGTTCCGAACACCAACCACATCCACATTGGTGAGCTCTAGGGAGGAGCTTCTGAAGAAACACATCGGAGTTCTTTGTTTTTTCTTAGCTTGGCAGTGTAGCTCTCTTATCTTTATTCATAGTAGTCTTATAAGGCTACAAGGCTGCGAAAAAAAAAGGATCAAGATGTGCGTAGAAAAAGTGGGCAACGGTTTAGAGTATACTAGGTACTTCGCTACGGGAGAGCGTAAGGCCATCCCGTGAGCCTCACACTTGATGAGGCCATGTTGATACACCAGTGACATTTTCTATGTGAGCTTATATTACTAAGTAGAATGTTACGTTCGCTAGACGCCCATCGTTTCGTCACTTGCAAAGAAGCATGCCCAGAAACCTATTGAAGTCGTGGCGGTAAGTATGACCTCGGTAGCGATTTGCGCGAAGTGAGCTGATACAAGAGCAAGAAACATCCCGCAATCGGTTGTTAATAATTGCGAATCATGTAGAGGCGTAAACAATATCAGACAGAAAACAACTGCCTTTCGAAAACCATAGTGGATAAACGTATTTGGCAAGCGTAGAACTGTTCATAACACTAAGTGCTTAGTAAGCGGGAAAGTATCTCTGGCCACTCAATACGTCACATTTATATCGGTACATTACACGTAGTTGTTGCATAAAAACGAATTAAGCATTCCAGCTCATGTTGCTCATTATTAGCCGTGAAATGCTGCGCAATATCAATGAGGCGAATTGAAGATGCTGACGTAAGCAATGCGGATGTGACACGAGAGCTGTCATTCAGCGAGTCACTATGCGACCTATAGTCAGTGCCCCATCAGCATAGCTTCTCTTCCAGAAGCAAACTCACTCCCAAGAAAATAGCTCCCCACAAAGCAGCTCTTATCTTTCAATACACCAGGAGGAGGAGGAGGAGGATTGAAGGAGGAAGGACAGGGAGGTCACACCAACTTACTCCAAAGGCAAGGACCTAGCGAGAGGAACGTGGGAGAAACATGTTGCGAGCAGAGTACTTTCATCACGGATGCACTCCTAGGTGTCTATAAGCTAGCACACTTCAAAGGTAGTGACTTCTTGAAGCTCCGCCCCCCCCCCCCCCTAAAAAAAGGAGTCATAGGTAGAGGTCGTTTATCATATCCTTCCTGTGGCATGCGTGCTTCCGCTCAGAGGAACTCGATAGCGCGGGTCAACCTGCATCGGCCACCATATATATGCTCAGTTTTCTGTGGCCTCTTCTGTACCGACTCTTTCGTCTTGCATGACCTTGGTTGTTGCAGCCTGCTGATTTCATTTATCTATCTATATATATTCTCCATCATGGTCTCTCTCGGCCATTCATCATGCATGGCGAGCCTCTTTGGTATCGGCACGAAGAGGACGGGGCTTTCAATTTCTTCGCGCATCTTCCTAGAAAATAAACGAAAGAAAGGGCGCAAAAAGAAAGAAAAGATGTGGCCAAAGCCACGGGATCCAACGCAAGGGTTCTCGTTCACGCTGCTCGCCCACTATACCGCCCCGGGCTGACGTATGGTGCCGCCCGAACCAATGACCACCCGTGCAGTAAGAAGAGCAGACAAGAGCAGGCAGGCGTTCGTAGGCGGCAGCCAAGATGCGAACGCTTATCGCCGGAGATGAAGGGGAAATTCGGGAAAGTGCGTCTTCGCTTCGGGCCAAGCGGCCGAGTCCGCGATGACTTCCCGTCTCCTTCGACTCCCTTTGCTACGCGTCTTTTGCTTACCCCGCTCATCGTTAGTTGAACAGGTGTCATCAGCGATCAAAGTAGCCAAACTGCTATACTGTTTGTTGGAGGCATTGTAATAAAGACGTTAGTGTTTGTTGGGATACTTCGACGCAGATATTTCGGTATGTTCGTCTGTTTTTGCCTGGCACCCAATTCAGCTATCAGAGCGAAAGGTTAATCTTTTGCTGAAGGACCACTCCTCTTTATCTCATGGCTGCGTTCATACCAGTGAACATTGTCAACCAAAAAACTTATATTAAGCATATTTGGGCAGAACATCAATACAGGAGCGTCAGGCAGTGTGTTACTTTATTTCTAAAAAGCCCAGATACGTAAATATAGAGACGGCAGTGCTTATTACTCGGCGTTCGCAATGCGGCGCTTTGACCGAGAAAACGGCCATTTTCTACGCAACACTATAATTACACCGCGCTGCCACTTAGCAGTGACTTTGCGTTCTAGAAAAGCCTCGTTTCTTCAAATAACTGCTACATAGCCTCCATATCTCGCGCAGTGTCTGCTCACCAATTTTCTTGTGCAGAACGTCAAATAAACGTTTTACTCTCTCTCTCTCTCCAAACAGACAACTGTCGGCTTTCGACGACTTTTGCCAGCGACGCACGCAGATACGCCGCCAATTTTTATGAATAAACCACACTTTGTTGGTGAGGTAAATTGGTGATGGCGTGAAATTGGGGAATAGGTGCCGACAAAAAGACTCCCCCCTCTCTACTGCGAAGTTATTAGCCCTGAAACAATACACAATAATAAGAAGACGAAGTGAAGATGCGGTGGTAACCGAGACAACCTTTGGCTAAATATCCGAAAACTTTCGAGGTTTTTTCTGTACGGAATAGAAACGATAGTGAGCGTAAAGCTTCGTGGGCTCTCACAATCTTTGATACCATCTGCCTGCGGTTCAGTTACGATAATCTGTGAAGTACAGCTTCACTACTCTCTTTATATTGTTGTTAGTATATATATCGTGAAGACGGAGATAGAAGTAAATATAAGGTGCAGCCAAAACAGCTGCCGAACACGCTAACTGCTATAGGTGGAATGAAATGCTTCGCTTTAGCTTCAGTAAAGTTCTCTTTTCTGCGTTTCACTACGTACTAAGTTCTCCAAAACAGCTGCTTTCTTTGTTTCATAGAAATATAAAGCGCAGAAAGAGGTCCGCAAGAAAGCCCCTAAAACGTCGGTGGTCAGTCGAAGAATTCCATCCTTTCTTGAAGTGTTCCATTCTTTCTTGAAGGACTTTCGGACCTTCGACTCTAAGCTCTACATCATGAGCGGTATGCAAAGATAAAATGGTTTGTCGTCAAGTGTTGTAACATGCACATTGCTCTGCCCCTCTCAGCGGGACGAGGTGGGCGCCGTCCTGATGAAAGAACTCACGGAAGGCGACGGCACGCTTCGCTACAGCGAAAAATTCCACCGCTTCGTGAACGAGACGTTTTCCGGCGTACACGTCCCGCTGGAGATCTTCGACGAAGGTGAGCCTCCCTCAACTTCAGTCAATTAATTAAATAATTAATAAGAAACATCTGTAATTGTTGGTTATAGACAGGCTGGCTGATCATAAAATTGTCATCAATGAGACATTTTTGTTGGATATCTACGTATCAAAACGAACCGCTAGTAAGTAGGTGGTAGTAGTGGCCTTTCAGGTGATGTTGCAGCAGGCAAGATTCGCCTGGCCCTATACGTGGGCGGCAATTGTGTTACTGTGTAGTGTTTGTGAGTTGAGCAGTTGTGATAATGAATTATCACAGTGTAATGATGTATTAAACGTTTGGCGCACATGGTCACCGCGATTTAGCCCGCAGGAACGATACCATCAGTAATCAGCATGTTGGGAAAAACATTTAGGTTTCTCTTCACAGCACATCATCGCCACTAAATTAAGATAAATGCAGGAACGAGTCAACCATGGCCCGAGCTCTCTGATCGACGAGACCTTGTGAAGCTCAAAGTTGTCTATTCGGCATGCGGCCTTCTTTGGGGTATGATGCCAAACATAGATGGCGCCTCGACTGCAGAGCTGCATCTTGAAATAAATTTTCGAAGCCACGCGACTACGTAAGCCCCACACAATGATATATTTCGCGTGTTGGCATCGTCCGGGGTGGCGCACTTTCAGCGAAGATACCAAAAGTAACGTAAACTGCTTTAAATGGCTGCTAAAAATTCAGTAATTAATTCAAGACAAAAATAATGAATTATTTCTGGTTGAACATAATGAAATGCGAGACCTTTCAGAAACTGGGTGCTATTTATCAATAATTCAAGTGAAACTGACCAAATTAAGTTGTTGGTTACTATTGTCCGAAGACAAATTATGATAAATCTGAAAACGACTGATGCTTAAACCCATGATAAATAACTGTAAGACTATCACCAGCTTGCAGATAATGATCATGACTCTCACAAAATAATCAGTGGATGTTCCACATATTACGACTACACGTATATTGGAATATTTTCCAGGAAAGGACGGAAACGCTATAGGTTACCACGTGGTCAATAAAAGAAATGAACGTTCTGTCGGTAGCTAAGTTTACTGGATTTGTGGGCAGTGTTGCGACTTGACGCTAGTTTGTTGCCCTGGCTACGCCCGTAACTATTACGCAATGCGGGAACTAATATCCAATATAGACAAAAAGAAAGGAGCATTAGGCAATGCTTGCGTGACAACACACGTGGTTCTAACTACAGCGCTTCGTGAGGCTTATAGCGTATGCAAGGTGGGAACGTAACAGATTGCTTTCGAAAATTTCGCTCGGCTCTCTCTGTAGGTACAGTGAACGTCACAGCGTGCAGCAGTTTAAGATATTGATTTTTTGAGACATTGATCTTTTGCAACAGGGGTACCTGCCTACTGCCTTTGTCATTTATACAAAACATACAAAAAAGTTCCGCCACGTGTCTAATATATCTGGAGATAGCGGTGAAAATAGATCATTACACGATCTTTTCATCGAGTGAATACGCCAATGAAAGTACCAGAAGTTTATGCTTTATGCCTTAGCAGGACGGCGTCTCGTTATTTGCATCCTATTTGCGCAATGTGTTTCTTCACAGCGTATACCTTTTCACGTAAACGTTACCGTTCCCGTTTTTATTTTGTTTTATGCGACCGTCAATAATGGGCGTAACACAGAAAAGCTTTCGTTCGTGAATGCTCTTTTTTCATTAGTCAACAATCGGGAATAATGACATGTCCGTGTCTTGGTTGGGCAATGCGTATCTGCTCTAACGCACTATTCTATACCGCAAAATGTCCTTTTAGAGAATTCGTTTGCGAAAGGAGAGCTAATGTCTTTATCAATATAACGAAGGAAACTTATTGATTATGTTTTTCAATTCTCAGCAGACCCATGGAGGCTTTTTATCTAATTTCATCAGGTAAAACAAAGTGGCATACACCACACACTGCGTTTCTTTTTTTTTTGTTCACATTAATGAAACAGTCACAAAAACACTCAGACTGCCCCTGGTGAATCATGCCGTACATGACCTACATATCATGACTTAACGTTCTGACTTGTCCGCTATGTTTTTCACTGAGACATGTCCTGCCAGGACAATTTTAGTATGCATTTGGTTTATAAAACAGCCATGAAAGCGAAAAGTCGTAGATAGATAGATAGATAGATAGATAGATAGATAGATAGATAGATAGATAGGTAGATAAATAGATAGATAGGTAGATAAATAAATAGATAGATAGATAGATAGATAGATAGATAGATAGATAGATAGATAGATAGATAGATAGATAGATAGATAGATAGATAGATAGATAGATAGATAGATAGATAGATAGATGTACGATTGCCGCTGTGGCACTTCGGAAGTTTTTTGTTGGTGTTTTAGCGTTGGGTTGATGAGGATAGGAAACGTGTGCGACAGTGTTGGGCGAGCCAGCCAGACTTCGTTTTCTTACTTGCAGACCCAGAGGTACTGAACGGACTCAAGTGGTCGCAGGCCTTGGACGCAGCCTTTCGACAGAATGCCGAGAAGGACCCGGATCTCCTGTGGCAGTACTTCGGAAGCAAAGTGGGATACATGCGGATGTTCCCAGGTACGTGATAAGAACGTCTGTACAGTGCGACTCGTGCAGGTTGAAAGGGTCCTCTAAAAAAGCGTATCAGAGCACCAATGCGAAACTCAAAAGTGTTTCGTTTCAAAGCTCTATACGAACCTAAGTATGCAGGCTGAATAAAAAGACAGAATTTATCGTTTTGTAGACTGGTACTATTCCATCTTTAGGAAGCAATCTGCAAACAACACGCCCGAAAGATATGAAAAGTAAAGGAAATGAGCTGACTTCTGAACGACGCTCGTGCCGCAGAGTTAAAAGAGAAGTAGTAGGCATACACGCCCGATTATTTATGCAGTGCAGACTTAAGAAACCAAAATACGTGTTTACTTCACCTGTCCTCCAGCTCTGTATTTTTACACTGGTTCTTGAAAAATAGAAATGAAAGACGCTATCTTCCGCAAAATCACCGAAATCATGGCTCTACGTTGTATTCATCGACTCATGGTAGCTGTATATACCTAAAAGTCCTTATAAGAATGCCGTGTGGGAAACTCAGTGGGGGACGTGTTAGACCTCTCAATATTATTTTAATATCCACCATGGGGGTCGAGTAATTATGGGGCTTGAAAGCTGACCCTCAGGTCGCGGAGTCAAACGCCGGCCACGGCAGCCACAATTTCGACAGATGGGAAAATGATTAAGGTCAACGTACTTAGATTTAAGTGAATGTTACAGAATCACAGCTGGTCGAAATTTCCGGAGTCCTTCCCTGCGGCTTCTTTCGTAATCACACGATGGTTTTGAACAGTTAAATCAAGACAAGTATTGTTATATTATTTTTATTTCTTTTTTTGTTAAGCTTACTTGTCCGGCGCAACAAAGGTCAGATAAAGCTCACGCGCTTTGGACTTCGTGCTACAAATGTGTCAAGTGCACCACCATGCCTGCATCAAGACTACAATATGCCAGGAACAACCATGACCTCGTAATGGCAGAGGGGGGCTACATTATCGCTTTGAAGTGCGTCAGAAATAGGTGGTGCCTTTTTCCCAATAAGTAAAAAAATGAAAGAGAAGAAGAGAGAAAGGAAAGAAAGAAAGAAATAAAATGGAAAGGATCGCGATATCGCCGCTGTCTCTGCTGCTGCACTGATAGTCGCGACGGCACCTCTGCTACATGCCTGTGCGGCCGCAACAACTTTTATTTATGTGGCTTTGCCGAGCGTGGAGAAAGGTCGGCCGCCAAAAGTAGTCGTGTGGCGGCCTGGTTTCCAATCGAAGCTCGTCGGCGGCCGGCACAGCCGAGTACCGTGTCGGCCTGATCGATTTTGTCTCTGGAGCAAAGCTGCACGAAGGGAGGAGGAAGGGAAATCAGCTTTGACTCAGAAGTCTCTTGCCCTTTAGTCTCTCCCTTTCGTACAAAGCGAAGGCTAAACCTTTGCTGTAGGCTCAGGTGGAAGCAACGTGAGAACAGCTCAATGCAGTGGTAAAAAAGTACCTGGAAGTCATCATGCTCAGGCGCCGTTGCTTCGGATCCTCGTGAAGGGACGCGCAAGTAAAGTGAAATACATGAACAAAGGGCGTTCTTTTTTTTGTTAATATTTCTGCAAGTAAACATGTGTCGTGGCATGTTCTCTTGTAAAGTTTTCAAAAGTCTACTTTTAATGTAGGGAAAGGAAATTGATGGCGGGCAATGCATGGGCAGGCAATCCCAAAATCTAGACAGTTCTACACAGACGAAAAAAAAAAAGAACTAAATGAAACCCAAAAAATATCGTTCTTTTTATACACCTTTTAGGGCTATGCAACGTTGCGGCCACACTTTTCTCTTCCTCTACCCCCCACCCACTTATTCTCAAGTCAGCAACCTCTAACACGGCTATTGAGGTGTAAAGAAAGAGACGTAAGGGTTTCTGGGGAAAAAAATTGACAAGGTAAAGTAGCTCAAAGTGCAAGAAGGTCCACTAAATTCGGATTTTTTTCCTCAACTTTCCCTATTCAACACTGGGAATGGTTTTTCGGAAGAGGGGAGGGGTAATGTATGTTTCTGCGTGCGTTTGTATTGACCCGTGCATATATTCACGCGAGAAACTGAAGAATTTCTAGTGGTGTTGGCATCTTCCACCCCCCACCCCATTTCCTTGGCTATGCCAATATTATGCCTGCCATATTTCATAATGACACCGATTAGGTGCAGACGCGCTGCAGCTGATAGTAGTGGAAATAACTCGTTAGTCCATGTTCCGTAGCATTGCGATTGCATTCAAAAAAATAAAAAAAATAAAGACCGTAAGGTGGTGGTGGGAAAGGTATGCAATAAACAACAGCAACAAGAACAAAAGAAGTCAGGGAAAGATGAGCGCGAGAACGTTACAAAATACATCTTTGGCACCCCAAAAATGGCGGACGGATCGGCTCCTACGGGGCGCGTTAATGCTCTCTTCCATCATCAGTCTCCTCCGTAGTTCAGCGGTGCTTTGGTTCATAGAGTACAACCACCAAGGTGCCGCCGAAGAAAGTGCGCACGCATGGAGAGCCACCAACGAAAGCGGCGAGTGTAGTCTTTCCAGCGTCGACGTTCGTCAGAACTCGTGCGACACTATGCGATGCAGGAAACTAATTTGAGGCTTGCTTCATTTTCAATACACTGTACCACTACCGGGATGTTAATTCAGTGCCGTTTCAGTCATTCCGTGCAGAAAAGTCGCGTGGAAAAGAAGGCATTTGATTGTATTGTTGCTTCCGATGTAGGTTCCTCACGTAAATGTCGACGGTTGTGATAGAAAGAGGCATGTTATCTCTTGAAATAATAAAATATGACGTTAGAAGATCCTAAAAAGAGTTAGATAAGAAGTCGTAAATGTTTTCAGCCATCACACTTCGTTTATCCCATACTCATACTATTCGTCAGAGTTGTAGTCAATATCATAAAGCAAAAATGAAAATAAAACAGCTCAGTACTGATGTATGAGAAATTTTGAAAGCGAGATGCTCGGGATATGTTTAAACAGGCGTGAGGCATTGATGAATCAGGACGGTGAACTGGGCGAGCTGGTGTGCTGTAGGCTGTCCGTTCTTTCTGGTTCCCATTTTTGTAGCGCTAGTATCTGTTAATGATTTGAGACTGTGATGTTTGCCGTTTCACAGGCTGATTACTGTTTTAACTCCCCTAAGGTTGTGTTTAACTATGTAATAAATATTGCACGACGACAGTCATGACCAGACGTGAGCTGCGACTAACCACGACAATAATGGTGTTTCTCTCCCGCTCTTTCCTGCATTTCAGCAAATCGTTGGAAGGTCGCCCCTGGAAAGCCCGACCTGTTCGACGTCCGAATGAGACCTTGGCAAGTAAACTTGAATTCAACGCTGGAATAATTATGAACAATTTATAGTAAACGAAAATCTGAGTTAGCCGGTAAATATTCATTCTAAAAGACAGAAATTAACCCAAGAAAGGTGGTGTCCTGACTTCCTTCCTCTATCCCTGTTTGCACGTCTTGTCTTTCCGAATGAATAATGGTTAGTGTTGTATGAATGCCCCTATTGGCGCACATTTCAGCGGACTGAGTGAGAATCTGGTTACCGTTCACGGGGGTGTAGCTAATGACGAAATGAGCTACATCTGTCTCTTAAATATGCATAGCTTAACGTTAAAGAATGAGAACTGATTGCATGTGTGTATTTAAAAGTACCCAACTTCTTTATCGGCCAAAATTTTCATTCAATACATTTGTGTTTTGTAGGTTTATAGATGGTTCCAGTTCACCGAAGGATGTCATCGTATTGATGGACACGTAAGTTATTCTACGCATATTTGTTGCAAAATTAACTGACATAATGACAAAATGTAAGGATATGTATTTTTTAGAGCTAAGACGATGTGTACTATTAATCTCTCAGCTCAGAACATTGTCTCGATGTAATGTTACCACTTGAATAATAACCTTCAACACTCGACATGCAAAATGTGAAGTCATAAAACTTAAGGAACATTGCTGCAGCTTGACTAAGTTATAGCGTTCTGTTCTATTTACCAAAGCTTTCTATAGTATGAACTCGGGGAATAAAGGATCGCGACTGGTCAGTCAGTCATTTATAAATTCTTTAGTCACCCTGCAGCTTCAAACATTGCTGCTTAATGCTGTCAGATTCAAAAATCAGGTTTTAGAAAAATATTAGCCCGAAAACAAAACTATAGAGTCTAAGCCAGAAATAAACTTTGTCATGTCCACGACAATTCAATAGAAAATATCAATAGTGATCTGACAAAGAACTATTGGGGCTTGCCACTTCTGTGAAGGGCGTGATGAGAGGTACTTATTCTGCTTTTTCCCGCGTTTCCAGGAGTGGAAGCATGCACGGGCCGTCCATGGAAATCATGAAGTTGTCTGTGAAGTCACTGTTGAAGACTTTTGAGGAAAATGATTTCGTCAACGTGGCTTCGGTATGATTCACCGCTTTCATTTCGCGTGCACAAGTGCAAATCAGCGAAGAAGGCTCACTCGCAGAGTTGAAATATAATTTCTACAACCACCTATAATTTATTCTGTGTACGGCTTGATTTTTCTCAATGTACACTGGTTACTGTGCACGTTATGTTGGTATGTTGAATTTTCATAAAGGTATAAAAATTAAGGCATTACGCTGTTTTTCTCCGCATGGTTCAATATTTTCTTTTGTTGCAACTATGAACACAGTGATGAATGAATCATTATATTATTATGCTTGTGCAGAGAAAAAACTTACCATTTACATACTGCCGGTCAAATGGCACATTCACCATCTGCAGGAAAAAGATACAGGTGAAGAATCATGTGACAGTGAATAAACACTCGATCATCAGGTCGCATGGACAACAAAGCAAAAATTATATCTTTTCAGGAAAACAGACTTTCACATACGGACAAATGTTTGAAAATTAAATATGTTTAAGACAACAGGAGATTTTGCAAATGCGCAACTTCACTTCTCTGCTATGCAGTATGTCCTACTAGTGGCCGCGAGCCTATTATTGAAAGCAATGTAATTCCAGCAGAGTTTGCTCGCGCTATGATGCGGAAAATGTTGACTCGGATGTCTCTTTTTAGACACAGATAATAGACAAGTCCCAGCACGTTTAACTAAGACATACATTCCAATTGAAGCACCAACGAAGCCACCATTAGTAGGATGAATATGTCTCGCAGAGAAGCGCCCTTGCTAGTTAGGAAAATATTCTATCATACAATATTGAACGCTTCACAGAGCATTATTTCTCTCAGATAATTTACTGGCCCCTTTATTCTCCTTTGTTTCACAGTTCGCAGGCGAAGTTCGGTGGGTATCCTGCTTCGACACATTGGTGCAAGCCAACAGACGCAACAAAAGAGTAAGAAAATCCAAGCACATCTTTACCTTCACGATGTAGCACAGCGCATCAACACACGCTACAACGCGATGTTTCATGAAAAGCCAGCGTGAAGTACCATGTGAGAAGCCTTTGCGCCCGTCGAACATTTTGGTCACCCATGAAAACGATGATTTGAAACGTAGTCAGTGTAACAAAGATGAGAGAAAATTATGCACCACCTCCTCGAAGGTAACAATGATGGGATGCGAAGCAGCAGCGGTGCGCACGCCGTTTACCCGGCCGAAACGGGTGTCGACGCGAGTGTTGGAAGAATGGTTTGAAGTGCAACTAGGTGTAGCCTTTACTCGAGTAAACATTTCTTTGAAACGCAAAGACACGAGAGGCGGGTTGGGTTTCGTATAAGTTTAATCGTAGATAAACGAGCCGAAAGAGTGTTTATACTCGACGTGCGGTAAGTTGCGGGAAATGGAGAGGATTAAGCGAGAGTGAAGTGTGTTGCGAGCGGGTGGAGGAGCAACACCACCTAGGTGTGTTGGGAGGAGCCGGCAGCTGCTGCGGGTGAGAGAGAAAGTGACGTCAACGCGCAGCTGCGACTTGACCTACTTGGCATCGTTCCTACAACTGCGGCGGTGGAATGCGGTGCGGTGCGTTGGCACGGATACATGGACAGACAGCGTTACACCGGCTAGTCAAAGAGCTGCTTCGCATCTGAAAAAATGGCTGTAGTTTAACTATTCCAAACCTTGTTATCATGAGCGACAGGTTTGAATGGCTTGGTTTGGCAAGGGCTACGCACATAGCCTCCTCACGTGGTACCACGGAGGCGAAGCTCCGAGTGAAGGTATAGCTGCGTCACCACTTCACAGCGGACCACGTGGCGTGACGTCACGCATGCAACACTTGCACTCATTCAGTTGAGGCACTGCGGAGCTATGAATAATCTTGGAAAACAGCTTTATAGCAGTGAGCTTTTTTTCTAAAAAGAAAGGACTAAAAATACAATGTCTTCGAAAGCACCACCTGATTTATGGCAAAACATGCGGCACGCAGTGCTGAGTAACAAAGTGCATCAAAAGACGTGTAACTTCAATTGCCGTAATTATTTGCATACTACCAGCGTTTGTTGGCAACGACTTAGGCTTGCTTATATTGGCGAGACTGTACTTAACGTACGCCAGCAGTTAGCCGTCTATATAGACCACATGATTTCTAATCTTCATTGATGGTAGCTATATAAGTTCTTTTAAGACCAACGTTGACTCTATTCAACCTTACCCCATAGAATGACGAAACAGCTTCATACATTTCTTTTATTGCTCAAGTCACGCTTTGGGGCTGTTGCTTGCTGTGCTGTCTGGGGTCACTTCACAAGCTGCAAGAGCTGCTGTCTATATGAGTTGATACTAGACATTCATGTTTGCTCAAACGTGGTGCTTGCTTTTTGCAACACACTCTCATTTCAAACGTTCATTCTGGCCCCGACAGATTCTTTCCAAGAGTATTGATCGGGTCATTGACGGTGGCACTGCAAGCTTGTCGCACGCACTCGACTTCGCCTTCCGCACGATGGCCGACGTAAGTACTTTACAACCGTACGGGACAATCAACCTCTAATTACCGCTGCTCTAGATATATGTTCACTGGAAAATTTTGGAAGCCACCATGTCACAAATATTTTTGTTTTTTTTTGGAGCAGATGCCCACTTACTCACTCGTAACTGACCTTTCATTGCAGTTTCAAGAAAACAAGACAGGCCATGCTGGTGCGGAGTGCATACAGATGATCATGATCTTCACGGACGGTGGAACTGAGGATCCTACTCCTCTAGTGGAAAAGCTTAACGCTGATCTCAAGGTTAGCACAGTTACGAATGTTTGACGGAAAACCACGCGGCCAGGTATAGGCGCTGAGTGTCTGTTACAAATCTCGACGGTCACACAGAAATGTCAGATGTCGGTGAGCGGCAAGGAATGGAAGAAGACAACAAAAAGGAGGTTAACCACAAACATGTCCATTTGTCTACGCTACGCCGGGGGAATGAAAAACGAATAGAAAGATGACATAGAGGGGGTATGGAAGCAAAGACAGAAGGATGCAATGCATGCGCTCACGCGAACGAGGGTGTTGCATGATATTATACTCAAATGCATTCACACACGCCCGTAGGCCTGAAAAAAAAAAAAGCACAGAAGTGCTTTTATTTTTTTGTGCGCTAGCGATCGATGGGGGTGATGCTCCAGCCGCAACCGCACGGAAAACCTCTAACTGTTCAATCGCTGGAAGCGTCAATTTTTGTGCGACCTTCAGAGGCAATTCAGGGCAATGGAATAATAAATGCTTGGCATCTTCACCAAGCCACATACTTGTCATGCCGCACTGCCGGTACCTCCAATTAATACTGTGTATGCCTTTTAGGAGCTTGCGCGGCAAGCTTCTTATGCTCGCACCGTGTCCTGCGGCGTCGGCGTGTACACCGGTGTTGCCTGTGTACACTTCTCCAGTCGCCGCTCAAGTTCACGGCTGCGGTCGCTTCTCCGGTGATTCCAACAACGCTCACTAGATGGCGCGCCTCCACCCAAGGCGTCGGTAGCATTGATGTACGCAGATGATATAGTGCTAATGGCCAATAACAAGAAGGATTTTCAGAGATTGATGCACATCTGCGATAATGAGGAAGATAGGTTAGATTTCAGATTCAGTAAAGAAAAATCAGCAGTCATCATTTTTAATAATAATGAAGGTAGTGAGATTACGATACAGGAGGTCATGCTAGAGATAACGAATAAATACAATTATCTGGGCGTATGAATAAGCAATGGGACCGAGTACCTAAGGGAACTCAAATATGCGTAATGACTAAAGGAAACAGGAATGCAGCGGTGATGAAAAATAGGGCACATTGTAAATATAATAGGTATGATGTTGTGACGGAAATTCGGAAAGGTTTTATGGTTCCTGGTATGACTTTCGGCAATGCGGTCTTGTGCATGAGATCAGAGGTTCAAGCAAGACTATAAATTAAGCAACGTGGAATAGGTAGGCTTGCTTTAGGAGCTCACAGGAATACACCAAATCAGAGAGTACAAGGTGATATGGGATAGACATCATTCGAGGGCAGGGGAAGCTAGCAGCAAGATAAAATTTGAGAAGCGATTGAGAGAAATGGCAGAGCAGCGTTGGGCTAGGAAGGTTTTCAGCAACTTGTACATGAGGAATGTCGACACAAAATGGAGGAAGCGAACCAGAAAAATGACGGGTAAATACTCAGAAAAGAGCAGGGGGCCAAAGCAAAAGGAACTATCGGTTAAGAAGAAAGTGAAGGAAACGGAGACCAACATGTGGAGAATCAGCATGATTAAAAAGTCCGCACTAGAAATCTATCAAGTGTTTAAGCAGAAAAATTGCCCAGCAAAGGATCTATGATAATTCTCGGGGTAGTTCTCAACTGTTTGAGGCCAGGACGGGAGTATTGCGGACCAAGGCTTATCGGTCCAAATACGAAGGAGTAGACATGGTATGCACTGCATGTCGAGAGGAGGAGGAAACTGCCGAACACTTGATCATCATCATCATCATCATCATCAGCATGACTACGTCCACTGCAGGACAAAGGCCTCTCCCATGTTCCGCTAGTTAACCCGGTCCTGTGCTTGCTGCTGCCAATTTATACCCGCAAACTTCTTAATTTCATCTGCCCACCTAACCTTCTGTCTCCCCCTAACCCGCTTGCCTTCTCTGGGAATCCAGTTAGTTACCCTTAATGACCAGCGGTTATCCTGTCTACGCGCTACATGTCCGGCCCATGTCCATTTCTTCTTCTTGATTTCAGCTATGATATCCTTAACCCCCGTTTGTTCCCTAATCCACTCTGCTCTCTTCTTGTCTCTTAAGGTTACACCTACCATTTTTCTTTCCATTGCTCGCTGCGTCGTCCTCAATTTAAGCTGAATCCTTTTTGTAAGTCTCGAGGTTTCTACTCCGTAGCTAAGCACCGGCAAGATACAGCTGTTATATACCTTCCTCTTGAGGGATAGTGGCAATCTACCTGCCATAATTTGAAAGTGCTTGCCAAATGTGCTCCACCCAATTCTTATTCTTCTAGTTACTTCAGCCTCGTGGTTAGGCTCCGCGGTTATTACCTGCCCTAAGTAGACATAGTCTTTTACAACTTGAAGCGCACTATTACCTATCTCGAAGCGCTGCTCTTTTCCGAGGTTGTTGTACATTACTTTCGTTTTCTGCAGATTAATTTTAAGACTCACCTTTCTGCTCTCCTTGCCTAACTCCGTAATCATGAGTTGCAATTCGTCCCCTGAGTTACTCAGCAATGCAATGTCATCGGCGAAGCGCAGGTTACTTAGGTACTCTCCATTAACTCTTATCCCTAACTGTTCCCATTCTAGGCTTCTGAAAACCTCCTGTAAGCACGCGGTAAATAGCATTGGAGAGATTGTGTCCCCCTGCCTTACACCCTTCTTGATTGGTATTCTGTTGCTTTCTTTATGAAGCACTATGGTAGCAGTTGATCCCCTGTAGATTTCTTCCAGGATGTTTATATATGCTTCATCGACACCCTGATTCCGCAGTGTCTGCATGACGGCTGATATTTCTACTGAATCAAACGCCTTCTCGTAATCTAGGCGCTGAGTGTCTGTTACAAATCTCGACGGTCACACAGAAATGTCAGATGTCGGTGAGCGGCAAGGAATGGAAGAAGACAACAAAAAGGAGGTTAACCACAAACATGTCCATTTGTCTACGCTACGCCGGGGGAATGAAAAACGAATAGAAAGATGACATAGAGGGGGTATGGAAGCAAAGACAGAAGGATGCAATGCATGCGCTCACGCGAACGACGGTGTTGCATGATATTGTAGTCAAATGTGTTCACACATGCCCGTAGGCCTGAAAAAAAAGCACAAAAGTGCTTTTATTTTTTTTGTACGCTAGCGATCGATGGGGGTGATGCTCCAGCCGCATCCGTACGGAAAACTGCTAACTGTCCAATCGCTGGAAGCGTCAATTTGTGTGCGACCTTCAGAGGCCATTCAGGTCAATGGAATAATAAACGCTTGGCGTCTTCACCGAGCCACATACTTGTCATGCCGCACTGCCGGTACCTCCAATTAATACTGTGTATGCATTTTAGGAGCTTGCGCGGGAAGTTTCTTATGATCGCACCCTGTCCTGCGGCGTCGGCGTGTACACCAGTGTTGCCTGTGTACGCTTCTCCAGTCGCCGCTCAAGGTCACTGCTGCGGTCGCTTCTCCAGTGATTCCAACAACGCTCACTAGATGGTGTGCCACCACCCAAGGCCTCGGTTTTCGATGGCGCGCACGCTCGCCCCCTCGCGGCTACGTCCACTTCGTTCTCGTCGCTTCATATATACGCTCGGCACCTCGTGACAAGTTCTTGAGTGCTACGCACGGGTACCGATATCCTCCCATGCCTCTTCACCTGCCAGCACCCAACGCCATTATAGAACACCTGATAGTTCCCCGTTTGCCATTTATGAGCGTGAGGCATTTGACTTACGGCAGCAGTCAGTATGACATAAAGCGGCAGGTGGTTAACGTGCCGATCGACGAAGTCAACATTGTGCAGTGCCGGCCGCAGAACGTGCCCGATAAAGCTGCCTTCAACGTACATATCATGCGTCGGATCGTTAACAAGCTTTCCTGCAGATATTATCTGGCCAAGAAAAGCCCCGTTCCCTTCCGAGCAAGCTCCTCTAACATCATTCACTTTGTGGATATGGCGGAGATTTTTTTCAAGGCAACCACCAACAAAGCCTGCAAAGAAACGAAGCTTCACGCCGGAGTTGTAATGTAGGGTTTATCTTGTGGTGTCTCATATGCTTTACGATAAACTTTGTAATTAACATACAAAGTAAATGTATATTACATGTGAGCTAGAAATACAAAGACGAAAAAAAAGCACGTCCGGGCACATACTTCAGAAAAAGGTTTGCCATACCTACCTCACTGTACGACTATAATCTGTCGTACAGTGAATATTTTTGCTACGAGAGTATTTAGATGCAACTAGAAGCATGTGCTTATGCTTGTTTACACTTCTATAGCCAGTTAAAGAGACATTAACTTACAGTGTTGACATTTTTTATTCGCAGATTCGTATCTTCACCTACGTGGTCGGTCCACACCCGATACCGTACGCTACACTCAAGGCTCTCGCTTGCAAAAATCGAGGTAATGTCTTCGAAGCCTTACTTACAATTGATTGATGCGTGAAGTGCAAACTTGCACATTGTCTCCAGCCAGGCACATATTTTCATTTGAACGTAGAAATGGCCTCTGAATGTATTTGGCAATGAAGTAATGCATTGCTGCAATCAAAAAGAGCAGGCTGACTAGTTCATATTTGTTCATTAACATTTCGCTTAATATGGACGTGTTGCATTTAGAACACTCTTTTGTTTCTCTTTTTTGGTTGTCCAGGTTACTTTACTGCCATCACGTCGTTTGGTGCGAGCAGATACAAAGTGCAGGTAAGCAGAAGCTTTCCTTTCAAGCGAGCAGCTTTTACGTTGACAAATGAAATTTCACTGTTCATTTCTCACTATAACATACATCAAAAATAAAAGAGAAACGGAAGATAACGCTTAGTTTTAAAAGTAACATTACACATTGCTTGTGTGGCATAGTAGAGCTTTGATTCAATAGCTTGAGAAATAGCTTGAGAAGTAGCTTGAGCCTCAATGCTTTGTGGAATATAGGAGTTGCTACCGCACTAGCGACACTGAGAGGAAGAAATCGAAATAAGAAAGTACTCGAACAAACTATTTTTTTAGGAGCAGGAATCGACATGAAATAGAGATATTGTTAACAAAGGTGGAGTTTCAAAGAAGTCTTTTTTTTTCTTGCAGGAATACCTCAAGGTGCTCAGTCGGCCAATGGTGCTCTCTGGGGACAAACAATTCACGTGGACAAACTTTTATCAAGACTCAGGGGTTCGAATAACTTTATTCTTCTGACAGCGTTTTGCGTTTCTATTAGAGAACAAACTCTTCTAACTAGCTCCTCTTCACCCCCCCCCCCTTTTTTTTCTATACTTAGGGAATAGGTCTGCTAACAACAGTCACACTGCCAGTCTACAACAGAACACACGGAACGGTCGGTGACCCATTTCTTTGAGTTAAAACGAAAAATCTTACTGCATGAATTACAAATGTTTTCTGTTGACTTTGGAGTGAGGCTTGTTTGTAAGGACACTACATGTCAATTATGGCAGTGGTGCTTCAACTATAGATGCAAGAAAATCCATAATATACGCTAGAAGGAAATATTTTTTTAGAAGTTGAAAACAAAAGCAGGAAATTTAAGGTAATCGGCGCTATCAAAATTGTATTGTTAGTATGTGCCACAAATATTGTGCAAATTTGCGCTACTTTTTATGACATCTACAAATTTGTAATGGAGAAGAGACCTCTGACGAAATTCTAACACGAATGTGGCCAAGTACGTTATACGTGACAAGCCTTTCATTAATATTTTCTCTTATTTCAACCGCACTTCATATTCCATGTGAGGGCCTCATAGAGTCACCAATAATTGTATTTAATGTGATCTAACAGCCTAACTTATGAGCGATGAAAGCATACTTATTTGTAACAAATTCATACCATTTCGTAAGCTGTACAATATCGACGAAAGAAATTTGATTGCGTGTCTTTGGGCATTTGGTTCTATACAGAATTGGCACATGCATTTTTGGACGGTACAATTTATAATAAATGAATTTAAATAAACACAATACGTTGCTTCCAATGTGTTATAGTGTGGTAATGTTAGTCAATAATAATCTTGTCACCATCCGATTCACTGGTGTGTCGTTTGACACTGCGTTAATGTGTGCAGTGTATACATTATTTTCAAGATCGCAACTCGATTTCGCAGAAGGACCAAACCATTGTAGGAGTGATGGGAGTGGACGTCTCGCTTGAAGAACTCAAGGATCACGAACCCACGTACAAGGCATGTGCCATAGATATAACCATCACAGCATAATTACCAGTGCACGACGCTCAGTATGACCATTCTTTGTGTCATTGTGCATTGCTCTCTCCTGGTGTCACCAACAGATTGGCCCCTCAGGCTATTCATTCATGGTGAACCGAAACGGTTACGTCATGTATCATCCCGACATTAAGTTACAGGTATGCTTCGCTTTGGAGATTTTGAAACAGTAGTACCAGAATTCAAATACTTTCAAACGAATACATTTTTCTCTTCTTTACTTCAGCTGGGTTCTCTAGAAGAACCATTGGACATAGACTTTTTGGACGTTGAAATTGAAAACCCTTTGAAAGAAAAGGTACGTTTTTCCCGCTAGAAGCTGATGTGTTTCTGAAGACTTGGCGTAGCGATATCAATGATAATTTTATTACGCTTAGATTCGCAGAAGGATGATCGACGGGCATTCTGGGCATGAGGCGGTGGTCAGCCTGATGAGGATGCCAGACGAGGTGGGTAGAAAGAGCAAAGCTAAAGTCGAAGACCTCTACAATGTTGTAACATTTGTGACAGAGGATTTGGTACCTCTCGGCTGTAGTACGAATGTTTTGTCGCACCAGATTTATGACGACGATATGAGCATGGCAACGTTTCTTCTCGTGTCCCTAATGCTTCATTGTGAACATGTTCGAATTAATCACTCATTGCGGCGAAGAAGTGAACATCACTGACGTCGCTTGTGCTTCGGTGTTTGCGTTTTCCAGAAGCACCTAGTGCCTCACAATATGGTCTATTACTACAGGCACATGAACGACTCGGAATTCGGGTAAGTTTAGTGCATGCATGTGAGAGATACAGCAAAGGATCATTTTGAAGTGCCGTAAAAATGGGGGTGACTGTTGTGTTTCAATATGTCCAACTTTCTTCCATCAGCGTTGCTCTGGCATTCCCTGAGAAGAGGAAGTTGTATGTGCGTGTGGAAGGGATGCGCGCTGATGACGGTAAGCGCGTTTCGTTATAAGGAGCGCTTCACTGAAGTTAGTGTTAGCCACATGAAGTTGATATTTAAGGGTACATGGTGCCGATAGAGAAGTTTAGTTTTTTAGAGTGGTTACGTCCATACTTGTCAAATGACAACGGTGTAGCCTAAATAAACACATCTTCCGTGGATGCGATACTCTGTGCAGATAACAAGAAGTCATGCATTTATGTGCTATGTTAATTAATTTCATTTTGATTACATAGCAATGTGCGTTTAAATGCACATAAAATGAAAATATACAACTGTACTCATCCATACACACAAGGCTAGTTGATGGCTAATAACAGAGCAGGCGTACAGATTTAACGACAAAACTGAAATGCACGCCAATGTGTGGCACGTAAAGAAAATATCCAGACAAAACATATCAGTGACAAAGGCTCAAAACCAAGATGTGCTGAAGCTGTCGATCAATGTCGATGTTCGTGTTATTCATGTCTGACAGGTTTCAAGCCAGAGACAGAGAAAGGGGATGGTGTCCTTTTGGCTCCGTGGTGAGTAGAACCCTCAAAAGCCTAGCGTATACGCTTAAGAACGTTTCTAGGCCCCACCACTAGCAGCAACCACAAACAAAGAGAAGCTAGTTTGTTCTTAATTGTAGCTAGTTCGGAGAGTACGCCTTTTACGTGTAGATGCTCTATCAATAAGTTTGAAGTAATATTTCTAGGCTTTGTGTACGCGGACCGTTGGTCACTCATCTATTCATGCTAATCAAAACACCACTCACCAAGAAAGTTGCAGTGCACCTTCACCTTTCCGATTGCAGACAAAGATAGGACTGAAGCAAAGGTAGTTTATTATTAGCATCGTAGCAGTCATTAGTAACTTTATGTGACGTACCTGCCAATAGAATGTGGCAAGCATGTTCTCTTGATTGGAAACACGTGTCTAATGTTAATGTTTTCTTTCGTCGAAACAACGAAGACGTCATTAGGATACCCGCTGATAAAGCTAGGGATAGCTGCTGCGAAGTAGTACGCTAATGTCTTTTCAAATAAAACAGCGTTTTATCGAACTGTTTCCCATGTTTAATGGAAACAGAAATTTGTCTATGCGACGAATTATTACTAAAGGTGTTCCTACTTACCAACCTCGAGAAGTGAGCCACATGTATGCTTTCGAAGAAGACATCACCCGCTTGGATATGCAAGGTAGCTCTTGAATCTCCCCTGGCAGCGCAGACTCCACTGGAGGTACGTGAAAGACGGAAGCTGACTACATGGACAGCACAAATAAGTTTTGTGACTTATGGGGAGTCGATATTGTGCCTATATAGTCGTAAGATAGCAACTTTTCTTGCGACATATACGACGAGAACTACAGAAAAGTCGTTTCCAGAGCGTTTCACGTCGCGATCGCCTATAAAATGTATTTTATTCGCCCGTGAAACCTGTAGGTCACATCGTTATAGGCAGGTGGCGTTACGCAATTCAAAATTCATGAGGCGCTACAGGGGACGCTGTTCGTTGTTCACTTTCAAATCAATGGCGTAGCCAGAAATGTTCGTTGGTGCGTTTTTATGTGTGTACAAATACTAAATTATACACATGCAAAATGTAAAAACTGTATAGGTTATAAACCCTCCCACCTTTCCAGAACCCCCCCCCCTCCCCCCCCAATCCCTGACCCCCGACAATGACTGTGTTTGGTGTACTTCGTGAATCAGCTTAGAGGCCAACTTTAGAATTTGATCGGAAATATTACAATAATAATCACTTTAACTTAGCGAAAATGTGCTATATTTAGTTAGGAGTTCGAAACAAAGATTGCAATGCAAGCGCAACTGGTTCACCACACCTTGAAAATTCTCGATACTGGGACCAATTCAGAGTGCCGCCATTAATCTTGCTAAATTTCGTTTTCATAGGCGCTACTGCAAGAACATTCCGCGCCCCAAGGGACTGACGGGCAACATCAGCCAAGTCCTGGAAGCGTATAGGGCAGACCATCGTCAGTGTAAGTGAACGCGCTTATCAGGTGAAGTATTTCTTGTGAATCTCACCGTGTGTTGCCTACCTCGATTACTTCTGTATAATCGAATGGTGCTCACTCATAAATAACCATAAAATTGTTGTATGAAGTCGAACTCGTTCATGCCGAGCTTCTGTTCTGCCACTTTCAGTCTGCCAAGTGACCACCACTGATAAGTTCACTTTTCTGCTTTCACTACAAGTTTATTAGGTATACTTGAGTTACAGGGGCGTAGCACCTTAGCCTGTCGGCTTAATGGTCAGCGTTTCATCATAGTGTCATGTCGTCGCCACTGTCCATCACAAACGAGTATGCGCCACAAAATTTAGCTCAACCCTCCTGCTCACCAGACGTCTGCAACATGCACATAGTAAATGTTTAAAGCCATTATTCAGAGTTGCGCATGCGAAAGCACCAATGTTTATTGAACGTCTGAGCCACCGCCACCAACGCCAATAATAAATAAATAAATGGTTCTGGGTCATGTTAAGAGTTACGTTGCGTTCGCATTATATCGGAGGACAAGTTTACTTAACATAAGGGTCAATTAGCAGTCACAATAGTTGCCAAAAATTATTTGATTGACATCAAAAGAGTTGCCTGTTGGGAGAGTTGGTGCTTTGACATAAAACCGATCGTGAGGGCGCAACTAAACACAAAACACAGGAAAAGACAGACAAGGCCCTTGTCTGCCTCTTCCTGTGTGTTGTGTCTAGTTAATTGCCTTTGCTGAAAAAGCAGACGTTTTTCTGTGAGCAGCTCTAACCGTTGCGGCACCTGGTGACACAGATCCCAACCAGCAGCTTATTTCTACGTGCCCTCCGAGATCCACTTTGGCAGCGGGCGTGAAACATACTTATGTTGATTTCCAATGGCCGAGTTGGAGCTGGTGACGGACTCAGTGAGCAAGCACTCGACTCGGCAGTAGAGCAACGCCTCCAAAACCGCGATTGAAACTCAATGTGAGCCGCCGGAGCACGCATGAAAGCAAGGAAGAAGCGGAAATCCTTTAGTTCCCAGAATACCTTGCGTGTAGTTATTCCATTCTGCTGATACCGTTGTCGAATTGTGTTGAATTACCACTCGTACGTAGTAGTTTTTGTGTCGGTGACACGATCCGATGAACTGCTCGTATGCAGGAACTAAAGCTTTCTGACTCTTAACTGCCGCAAAACATGTGACAGTGGTGGTGCCACCAAGCGGCCGAACGAGTTAATGGGAGTTCTGGTCCACTCTGCCGCTTCGGTGGAGCAACTTTTCCTGCTCCTCGGAGTCACACCCGCTGTGAATACACTCCGACTCTTTCATTGGAGCACTTCACTTCCGCCCTCACTCTGCCATCGGAACACACCTGCTCCAAAAGGAGCAGAAAGACGTGCTCCGACGCACTCATTGGAATTCCACATTAGCATAAGTCAAGTAAGCCACGGGAGCACACGAACGACGACGTGAGCGTGACACTGCCAGACACCTAAGAAAGTATTAAGGTCACCTGCAGGTTTTTTGCTCACTAGGACAGGGTTGTACGCTGGCGTGGAATCGGCACGGCTGTTTTCATTGTCAAGTACAAGGTACTTCAAGAACGTTTCTTTTTTCTCTCTAAACGCAACGGAGGTCTGGCATAACTATGAGGAAAGTTATAAAAAGGATTGCTTTCCCCCATAAAATTCTTTCTTCCAGGCGATCCTCTACTCATGCAGCGACTGCTCTGGGACATCGAGAACACGCGAGCTGTGGTCAGCAATTGGACGAGTGACGCCTTCGCTGAAGAAAGGTGCTTTCAGTTGCCATTGTTTCAGAGCACTTAGCCCCTCAATTTTCTTAGATGGGTAGATACGCCCGGGAAACGTAGGTGCCTGATAGAATTACTCAACATGAATTCATGCCCTTGGATAAGTATTTCTTTAGTTTTGAGTAATATTTAACTTAAGTAAGTATCACTCTTGTCAGTTATGTGTTCACTTAACGAACATGTACATGACTTTGTGCGTCCTTGACGTCTCACATCCCACAGGTTTGCTAATTCACGCCGTTCGGCTGGCATCTGCGTGATAAGCACATAGTGTTAGCTATAAGGTAACCGTTCGTACTTGATGAGGGGAGCGAAATGTAACTTGCTATAACGTGGTTGACTGTGATGGCAACGCAGGCCGTACTGTAACTGTTGATCTTGCATGCAGTGTAGAATAGCTACTATCCCATAGCCTCGTACCCATATTGTAGTGTACAATGGTACGTTGGATGTGGAACCAGAAAGGCCAACAGTCTCAGTCATTCAGCGCCTTAACATTATTTTAAGAAAAGAACTTAAATAAAGAAGCAAGAACGTCAGAAACGTAAGAAAGTTGAGGCAACAAACACTGAAGCTCAGCAGTCACATGCACTAATATAAGCTAATGAGAACTCGTAATATTGCAAGCGCGATGACATTTTACGCATTTTTTCGTTCGCATTTTCACAGATTGTGTCTGCACGCATAACAAACAATGTTTGTAAGTATAAGACAATAACGAAATATTTTGTCTCTCATTCTTCCTAGGGATGGAATTCTAGGGACATTCGTGGGAACAGAAGGCGGACTAATACGCTACCACCCTGACTCGTAAGCCCATGCATGTTCATAAGAGTTATTTACCTGCGGACAAGATCAAGCAAGTTTTCACGATGAAACTATTTTGTACATTGATTCGTTTCTGCTCGGCAGGATAGCGGAGTACCTGGAGCCAGAGGCAAATCCCCAAAAGGCGTCCTATTTTAGGAGAGCGCTGTACGCCGAGGACTTCGTCTTCCTCATCAGTAACGTGAAACGTAAGCAACTGGTTGAGCGATTCATCGAGTTCCGCATGTACCAACACACTTGAGCAATTCATATATTAAAACCAGATTTCAAAGAATCGCTCCTGTTTTGTGAAAGAGCACTGAGGTTTCCGCGAACTCGAAAGAACATCATACGAGGCGTGCGCATTCAGATATCCTTGACTAGATTTCATTTGTAACTTTGCCTTGCGTGATTGAATTCTCATAAATTTGTGCTTCGGGTATTGATATATATTTGTCCATTCTTTTAATTTGCTTTCTGTCACAGACACCTTTACAGTGTGTGATATGAACGGTAATTGCTTTATCGCACTCATTTTGACATAGCATTTTCACGCCATCACTGCCGCGAAGCCTCTAGTTCCAGCGTGAGCTATTCTTCATTTTGGTAACGTAACAAGCAAAATATAAAATTACCCCGCATGTCGAGGCACTAATGCAAAGTACAGAAGTCATCCTCCCGAAATCCGCTTACAATACATTATCTCTTAAGTGAAAATTTCAGCCAATTTATATATTGGATATGGTCTAAGTACAGGTGACTATGCAGTGATGAATGTTATTTATATCGGTGAGCTTAGAGTTAGAGAATTGCTGCTTGTTGTTTATGATGGGCACAATTTTTATGGTATAGCTGAGTAGCAACGCAATAATACTACAAAATATATATAGAATGTTTTGTGCGCTGCTACTTTTGCCAGGAAGTAAGGTTTGTAATACAGTCAAAACAAATATTTGTACTGATCAGTTTCTTTTTATACAGGAACATATGGACCAAATGCAACAAGAGAAAGTGTTATTATGGCAGCCAAAGCTGTTGATATCTACATTAAGAAGTCAGAGCTAACACCAGCAGGTAAGAATTTAGAAGAACAGAAAACGAAAAGAACAAGTATTTAACGAAAAAATTGCACCATCTCCCCTTTAAAGAGAACCATGCGGGGATGGGAAGCAGCATTGGGGGTGCACACCAAGTTTCCGTTTACGTTCACTCGGTGTTTTAGTTAATGTGTGCAGTTTGTATTTAGTGTGTGTTATAATTACGTTGTGTTTCTACGTTGCTTTTGTTGTCTCGAAAGCCTTTCTATCATTGCCGCCGACTTGTGTTGCCTCTCTATAGTAGAAGCGGTAGGCCGACGCCTACGCTTGGCTTCGACGTAGGCGTTCCGGACCTTGAGGTTCGCAGCTCGACGCCGAAGCTGGACTTGCAGTTCACTAGCCCGGCAATCGGGATCGCCTTGCCTGCGCAGGCGTTTGCGTTCGGCATGTCAAGCACTGCGTGGCTGCTGCTCCGCGATGATCTCGATCTCGGCAGAGGTTGGAGTGCTGCTCAAACTGGCACCGACGTTCACGTTACAACTCATATGACCGGGAGTGAAGCGAGATTGAGGGAAGCTGACCGCGCGCACACGCTTACATGAAATGGGAGAGGGAAGGAGGGAGTGGGTTTACAGGCTGCAGCCCGGGCAGAGGAGGGGAGAGAAGGTGACCTATCGCTTACGTAAAGTAGGAGTGTGAGATAGAGATTGAGTAGGCGAATGCGCAGTGGGGCGTGGACTCCACTGGATGAAGCTCGCTCATAAGATGCTTCGCATCTGAAAAGAAAGCAAGTTGTCAGAAGAGGTGTGTGGGGAGCGCTAATACTGTCAGCAGAATAGCTATCAGCGAATAACAGGCTAGAATAAAGCGAACATATTTCTCTAAATATTTTACGAGGTGCCTCCTGACGGGAAGAGTACCAGAGTCTTGGAAGAACGCTAACATCATCTTAATACATAAGAAAGGAGATGACAAGGACTTGAAGAATTACAGGCCGATCAGCTTGCTCTCTGTAGTATACAAGCTATTTACAAAGGTAATTGCTAACAGAGTAAAGAAAACATTAGAATTCAATCAACCAAAGGAACAAGCAGGATTTCGAACAGGCTACTCAACAATTGACCACATTCATACTATCAATAAGGTAATAGAGAAATGCTCAGAGTATAACCAACCACTATACATAGCCTTCATAGATTACGAGAAGGCGTTTGATTCAGTAGAAATATCAGCCGTCATGCAAACACTGCGGAATCAGGGCGTAGATGAAGTATATATAAACATTCTGGAAGAAATCTACAGGGGATCAACTGCTACCATAGTGCTTCATAAAGAAAGCAACAGAATACCAATCAAGAAGGGTGTAAGGCAGGGGGACACAATTTCCCCCATGCTATTTACCGCGTGCTTACACGAGGTCTTCAGAAGCCTAGAATGGGAGCAGTTAGGGATAAGAGTCAATGGAGAATACCTTAGTAACCTGCGCTTCGCCGATGACATTGCATTGCTGAGTAACTCGGGGGACGAATTGCAACTCATGATTACGGAGTTAGACAAGGAGAGCAGAAAGGTGGGTCTTAAAATTAATCTGCAGAAAACGAAAGTAATGTACAACAACCTCGGCAAGGAGCAGCGCTTCGAGATAGGTAATAGTGCACTTGAAGTTGTAAAAGACTATGTCTACTTAGGGCAGGTAATAACCGCAGAGCCGAACCACGAGATTGAAGTAACTAGAAGAATAAGAATGGGGTGGAGCACATTCGGCAAGCACTCTCAAATTATGGCAGGTAGATTGCCACTATCCCTCAAGAGGAAGGTATATAACAGCTGTATCTTGCCGGTACTTAGCTACGGAGCAGAAACCTGGAGACTTACAAAGAGGGTTCAGCTTAAATTGAGGACGACGCAGCGAGCAATGGAAAGAAAAATGGTAGGTGTAACCTTAAAAGACAAGAAAAGAGCAGAGTGGATTAGGGAACAAACGGGGGTTAAGGATATCATAGCTGAAATCAAGATGAAGAAATGGACATGGACAGGGCATGTAGCGCGTAGACAGGATAACCGCTGGTCATTAAGGGTAACTGACTGGATTCCCAGAGAAGGGAAGCGGGTTAGGGGGAGACAGAAGGTTAGGTGGGCAGATGAGATTAAGAAGTTTGCGGGTATAAATTGGCAGCAGCAAGCACAGGACCGGGTTAACTGGCGGAACATGGGAGAGGCCTTTGTCCTGCAGTGGACGTAGTCAGGCTGATCATGATGATGATGATGATGAATCATCATGATGATGATGATTTCTCTAAACTCAATCAATCAATCAATCAATCAATAATTAATCAATCAATCAGTGGTGATTCGTGAATTATGCTTGATTATTCGCAAGATAAGAGAATACAATAGAAGTAAACATGCAGAAGGTGGTCCTAAGGCTGTGGATCGCAGGGGGGACTTCCTAAATTGCCTTAAGGAATTACGGGCAGCCGTAATTCACACCGAATCGTGCGATGATGGCTCAGAACGTATTTTTTAATTAAATAAATTTGTAGTCTCGTTGCATGTATCACACCATAACACCGGCTTTTATTGTACTATCATGCTAACCACCCCTCATGTATTGCCCCTAAACGGGGTCTCTAAGGCAATGAAATGAAATGAAGTGAAATTAAATGTGTACTCATTGAACCGTGTTGTTAAAGCTCACGATTTTGCTGGGAATGACAGAACGTTGAGATTGGTTGTCGGAACTTATCGTGGAATAAAGATCAAAGCGTGCAAACACGTGACCAAGATGTGAGAGCAAGACAGTACACGAACACCTTGCTCTGTTGGTGTTCATGTCTTTTTCTCTTCCCTTGTGCCCACGTACGCGGAAGCTTACTTTGTTCCACCGTCATGTAAACCCTATCTTTTGGGCCTAATTACTTAGTTAGTCTTGTCACGATATAGTAGTCTTGCGTGGTTTTGCTTTGTCCTGAGCGTAGTTTCTCGTAATCTTATTGCAGTCGTCGGTCTCATCGTGGAAGAGCGCGTTATCCACGCCTCCCTCATGACAATGTCTGCCAACGGAAGTTCAGGCGAGCACCTCCGTTGTGCGGACGAGGTGAGGAAAAAAAAATTTTGATTCTTGGTGGGAGTTCGGTAACTTAAACGTAGATTATCTGTTGTTGGCAAATACTTCGCGTCAAAAAAAAAAGAGAGAGAAAGACATAACACGACCAAAAACTGGCATCAAGAGGTACGGTCACCCTTTTCTTTCGCGTATTAGCCGCAGTAGTTGAAAGGTCTTAAAATTTAGATAGATAGATAGATAGATAGATAGATAGATAGATAGATAGATAGATAGATAGATAGATAGATAGATAGATAGATAGATAGATAGATAGGCAGGCAGGCAGGCAGGCAGGCAGGCACAGGCAGACAGGCAGACAGACTGATATACAATGTCTGCATCAAACCGAATTTACAGGATAAATTTGTCGGAATATAAATAGAAATGATCTGGCTTTCAAGTTTTGCGCAGAATTGATGTAACTAAATATTTTTATGCGTACACCTTAAAAATTATTCGGAACCTTTTAGATTTTTATCTCGGCATTTTCTGTACTTCGAAGACCAAGAGACGGTGTTTTTTTTTTTTTTTCAGGACTTTGTCGTCTGCTACCTTCTGGATGAGGGAGGTTTCATACTGACCTCCAGTACGGATGACCACACTGAGAACGTATGTATTCGTGCAAAATAAACGGAGCCCGAAAATTCTCGCTAAAGCGTTTATCGAGTGGCCACTTTTAGAGTTTTCTTATTATATTGTGAATGTGCTGTTCTGCATATACTGAATAAAGTGTAAATCATAACTTACATTTTTTATCGGTAACTGCAACATACTTTGTTGCAAAAAAAGTATACCAGAAAGTTTGTGTTTTATTACCCCAGGTCGGGAAGTTCGTTGGCGCTGTCGATCCGGAACTGATGGATGATATGCTGAAGAAGTCGGTCTATTTCAAGTAAGCATGTCTTGTTCAATATGGTTGTCTGACCTCATCATTAGAAAATGTAGTTTCCCACTGGTATGCTGTTCCTAGTTCTGAATTTTTCGAGCCCATTCATGCAAGCTTAAATTCAACTACAAGTTTCTTTGGTTTTTGAATATTAATAGCGTGGCATTGGCGGCGTCCATGAAACGGCTGTGAAAATAAACGTAATAGGATAAAAAAGATACTTCTTTTTTTACTTCCGCAGGGTGGAAGAGCTGCATACAGAATCTCGGTGTCCCAGAATGCGCCGATACACAGCAGGTGCCCGATCGTCGATTATGGTAAGTCGATCAAGAACTTCAATGGACCTGTTCCAGTTTTTTCATCTTTTGTGCCTGATAATTATTTTAGCACATTTTTTTTTGGTTTATATAGTCCCACGACTTACACTATTGGCTTAACGGGTAGGACAAAATTGCGTATAAGAACGGAAAAAATGTCCTTCTTTGTTGGTATTTCATTTCGGGGTGGTAAGTGCGGAAGTGTCAAGAAAAGTGCGATAAATTTTGTTAGCTGTAGCTGCCGAGTTAGGTGGCCGCAAAAATATGGGCGCTAGGAGAGTGCGCATAGCAAATTTTAGAACCAAGCCAAATAGAAAAAGATTTGAAGGGACACAAAATCGAATTCAAATGCAAATTTGTTAAGGTTCAAATATTTATCGAATAGTTGGACAACCATTTTCAAAGCAACCATAGACTCAGGAATATCCAGTTCAGCCGAACAATTTAGCAACATTTTCTTTTTTCAGGGAAGCATTCATAAGTTTTATGAAAGGAACTTTTAACCGACAAAAATATCAATGAGCAAACTGAGGGAAGCTCGTAAGCAGAAACAATTAAGGCCTTCGCAGTATTTTGCAACCGCAGGCTGAAATGCAGTTGTAGTAACTACAATATCCAAAGTGGTACTTTGTCCAAAGCTTATGCACAAATGTTAAGCCATATTTATTGGTTAACATAATCATGCATGTCATGATGAAGATAATGTCACCATCGCTTCAATGACTTTGCAGTGTTAAGCAACAGCGCCTTCATTGCGCGATCAATATAGCGTGGATAGTAGCTCGAGTATATGAGCTTCATGCATCTGGGTAATTTAATGCTGAAAAAAAGAAACGTTTTCCCTCGCTTTTCGAAGGTGTCGTTCCTTGGAACATTTTTCGTCCTTGCTGATTATAAGAAAAAATATTTGAAAATTATTCGTTATTTCTAACGTGAAACAAAAAAAAAACGCTTTTCAGTTTGTTATTCAAAATTTTCAAAGATTCGGAAACTGCTATTAAACTTCTGGTTGTCAGAATTATTACGGAGTTCCCGGAGTCACATTTTCTTCTTGTATATGCAGTCGGAGCTCACTTTCGTGTGGTTAGATAGTTTTTGAACAGAGATGAGTGAATCACCCGTAAAAATGTAAACCTTTAGAATGGCAGCGATAGTTCATGAGAGGAAAATTTCAGTTATGTACGATTATATTCAAGATTGAAGTGTCTGCCTTCCACCTTGAATATAACAAAGGGGAGGTCTTATACTCTATTGGTATCGTGGCAGCAGTGGCAGGACCAGTCGGGTGTTTAGGTAGGTAATTCGGTGGCAGTAGCATATTGGTAATCTCAAATATCTTCCGGAGGTCGTCGCACTATACCGCCGTTCTCAATGACATAACTTATTTAGCCTGTAAATAAATTACGTCGCGAACTTATCACTAAAATACAGTTTTTATAAACACAATTAGGCGGTATTTTTTTCGCACGTGAGGTTGCTTAATCAAGAGTCTTGTTTATCGATCTCTATGCGGACAAGGTTAATGTGGCATTGTACTAACTCTATCGATGCAGCCCCTTGAAAGCCTTGTCAGAGCATTCGATATCAGCTGGATCTTCGAAGCATCGTCCTGGTAAGTGTTCCATATACTGTTTACTTTACAATGCAGTGTACTTTGAGGTATACGCATCGCTCGGATGGCTAACTATTGTTCGTTTTGCAATGGCTCCCAATACGATTTGTATGATATTGATCGTCCATATCGTCAGAAATGCACTGGATTGTTTTTATTGGTTATTTTTTGTGTTGCAGGCAACTAATAAAGATGTGGCTGTACGCGTGAGTATTTGCATTCAATATTTGCATGATTGACTGCGCTAATCATTGTCACTGCTAGTGTAGCCTGATATTTGTATTTGTTTTTTTTCTTACGGGAAGGAAACCTGAGTAATCAGCATTCAAGCCGGGAATAAAATAGACTAATAAGCGCCAGGTAACACAATTCACCCAGCCCATAAGCTGTGGACTGTTAGATTTGTAGAATTGATTCGAGCAGGAAAAAGAGCGCAGAGGATGACGTTAGATGATAATTCAGTGTGTTGTGATCAGGGAATTTCACAGCGTAAAGTGGATTAGGCCTATGAAGGGCATTTACGATTGGAAGTAATAAGGCTCCGACGTGAACATAGCGCTACATGCTGCTTTTGGAATACTTTTCTTACAATTATGTATAGAGAGGCGTAATTTTGTCCTCGGGGCCCGAAAAAATGCATTAGTCGCCCATTTGCCGTTCACCGGTATATTCCATAAACTCGAGAAAATCATGTTTCGGTCAACATCTTACAAAGTGTTCGGAATTAACGGGATCAAAAGCTCTGCGAGCTCTTCATGTGGTTTTTACATTTTTAATGAGAAGCTCAGGGTTACGGCCTGTCGTACGCTGTCGTATGCGGTCATCTCAAGTCGTGGTTTGGCGTCGCTCCAGCGAAACCATGTGTACCATAGCCATGCATGACAAGGGTGCGAGAAATGGCATTGAGTGTGAGGAGAAGGAAAAAAAAATCACAGCATATCCACAAGGTGAATGATGACGAGTGGGGCGAAGCGGACACACGCACGCACGAACGAACAGATAGACGCACGGGCGGACGCCCGGACAGACGGACTGATGGACGCTTCTCCCCACTCATCCTCATTCACTCCGTAGATATGGTGCGACACCGTTTTGATTGACATGGAATGAAATGCGACTGGCTACTACGACGACTATGACGACTACCACGACACGGGACATACAACCCATGGCGTAAGGGGCTTCACCCATAAAAGTGGTGAGTAGAAGGTGCCACTGCATCACAAATGAATGTTTCCATTCCAGCCGTGGACGCCAAGCAGGCTGCTTGTTTGGAACGCCAGCGCTTGTTCGCGAACCTCACTGAAGGGCATGCGAACCACTGCCCTGCACTTCCTACACCTTCCACGCTCTATGCAACTGTGTGCATTGTTCTTTCAGTCGGTGCCCACTAAACGATACTGTCTCACTTGTAAGTTGGTCGCAGACGACTAGGATGATAGTCAAGAATTCATAATGGTCTTTCTCGACATTCACTCGTGGGTAATATATGAATGTAGATTAGCTCGTACAGCGTAGCTTATGTCGTACCTAGAATGAAAGCCGTGACCCCTGTGACGCAGTTGGCTGCCTAGCTTGGGCGGCGGCGGTGGCTGGGGCGCCGAGTCGGCGTCGTCGGAGCACGGCCGCTACATTCCGGATGAGTACCGCGTCTGCACCACCCGCGAGGCCCTGTACCACTTTGGAGACCGGAGCAAATACTTCATGAGCAGCCTGGAATGCGGTAACTGCTCCAGGTATGTATTGCGAGATGATGATTGGCGGTATTATGTAGCACTGTTGCATTGTCAAAGCAGAAGTGAAGGAGAATGTGGATGCACGGAGAGCTGAAAAATCGTCGAACAGGGGTTGTCACAACAACCGAAATTTTGACAAGTTGTCTTGTCTTTTTTTTTCAAGGTAGCAACAATGCAGTCTCTGCCTCGAAGAAAATAACGTTATTGTTACGATGAACAACGAGACATAGAACGAACTCTCTAGTGGGGTGAGCGTGTGCCCCCTAAGGAGCTTAAATTGAAACAATATTTATTGCTTTGCGTATATCCTCAACGGTCTTCATTCCTGGCCAGAAATTCAGGTTAGCACGCAGTAAAAAGCTTTTCAGAGTGTGGCACTGCGCTCGCGCGTGAAGTAGATGAAATGAAGACCAATCTCCACAGGAATCATACACAAAGGCATGCGTTCTCGTGTATAGCTATGTATTTTTGCACCCTCTTGTGGTACTTTAAAGGTGTTTTACTTTATTGCTGGCCATGCGTGGAAAACTTCGATTCATGTGAAATTTATTAAAAATATAAAACATAATTGTAAAGATAGGTCGCGTAATTTCATTTCGATGCAAATTTTGCTTGGCCTATCACTATGAAGGACATTGGCACGGGATGACAACGTATAATATTGCGCAGGTAATTATACCCTTCCAGTTCCTTGGTCTTAGAAAAAAAATATCGAAGGCGTTCGTAGGAAGAATCTCGAAAGATGAAAAAGGGTTAGACGAAAAATGGAATTGAGTATCTGGCGTGAATACAGACCAGAACACTGACGTTTGAGGCTCTGTATAAGGGTCCTGCATGCCTCACATATATTTGAAATTATTAATGATGCCCGCATTTCATATTGCGAAAAGAACTACCCATGATTCGACCAATATATTGAATGGGCTTTTTGGTTGTACCAGGAACCAAGCGATCGATGTCGTTCGTAGTCGAAAGGCATCGCCTATTTTAATATTTATAGGTTTGTGTCTTTTAATGAAGTTGCCGCCTCATGATAAAATGAATATAAGTAAATGTTATGGTAAATCGATAAATAATCTATGGTTTAAAAGAAAGAAAAAAAGCCCTCCTCTTTTTTTTGAAAAAAAAACTTTCTAATCTCTTTCTCATATAATGCATTGTCTTTCGATTACAATGTCAGAAAACCTGAATACTTGTTTTCGAAAGAATAGCAAATCGAACTAATAGTGATTTCTTGTAATGTTACGAACCACTTACTTCCCAAGTATACTCTAATATATTTCTCGTCATGGCAGGAACCCCAGTTGAAAAAAGCTTTAATGCTTGTACAATAGAAGTAACTAAAAAAAAAACAGGATAACCACACAGTGGTACTGTATGCCTGCGTTTGTGCAAAGTTGTTCCGTTTATTTCTTGCTATATGCCACTCTATTGGTATCTGGAATAATTGGCATGGTTCCGTGATCAAGATAAAACAGCGGGGGAAAACGAAGGCAAAGATACAGGCAGTACTGCCTTTTCGAAATTGTGTACTAACTTTATTACGAGAGTATGCGCTCTTTCGTTTGGGCACAAAAATGAATTGACACGGGCATGCATAAAGAGCGGTGTTCATAAAGAATGCTCGTGAAACTTGTGTCGGCGCGCTTTCTGTAGTTTTATTGCAAGCCAAAGAATTTTTTTTTCTCCGAGACAAGATGAAGCTCAAATGAGTGACGTAATCCTCGCTGTTCACGTTTTGACGGTTGCGTCATATGACTATGAAGTGTCTCCAGTGTTTTGAGGCCCAATACGCTCATATGCTTGCTTGTAAGTGATATTTGTGACTGGCTGGTCAGCTTATCTAATGATGTTCATGATATAACGATTGGCGTTTTTTTTTTCCTGCGAACAATTCTATAGGCTTCAACGTTTTTGCGAATGCGGGCACTTTAAATTAAAGAAGCGGCAATTGCTGAATCTTCTGAGTGCGCATTTGGTTGTTCATTTGTGCCACTAAAGTGGGAGTCCCTAATGAATGCTCGTGCTGTCTTGTCTATCGTTCTTGTTTATTCGCGCTAGCTTCTATTCGTCGTTGCCTGTGCGACTGAGTATATAGCGGTGCTGGTCTTCCCGTGAGCAGTCTTCAGTGAAAAGTCCTACGGATGCCTACAATAACTTCTCATTTGACCGCGTCCAACCCTAACAGGCAGTACGGCGTGGGACGTGTGGGCTACACCAACGTGATCCTGGTGATATCGACCGTGCCCTGCGCGCCCGTCTTCTGCGACCCGCCGCCGACGCCGCTGCAGGCGCCAATCGAAGGTTGGTGCGCGTCGCGCAAACACTGTCTGCTGTCCCATCATCGCATGACCTACTTCCTTGTACCACCTCAGTTCATCAAAGCGATTGTTGTTGTTATTTTGAGAAAGCCAATATCATATGAAGTAGAAGGCCAGCTGCGAAACGACGTTCAAGTACTGCTTTCTCGACTGAGGTAACTCATAGTGTCTAAACTGGGCCTCAATATCGCCGAAGCGTGAAAATCTGGGCCAGTTGGTTCAAATTTACATGCGAAAAAAAAATACACAGAGCGATACTCAGGACAAGGACGCCGCAAAGGCACAATAATCATTCAGTCTGGCGACTGTTTGCGCCTCTTGCTGCATCCTTGTCCCGAGTTTCACTGGTGTTTTTCTTGCATGGCAACATCACAAAACACGAGTGTAAAGGTCTCGATTTTATTTAAGCCTATGCAGAGTGGTACTTAAGAACACGCGCAGCTGGTACCCGGCGGTGGTTTCTTAGAATGTGAGCGAGTAGAAAGAGAGACGTGGTACCAATCGTGGTACGTAGCATTGAGAACAGGGGCAATTAGGGTATTTAAATCATCGTGACGATCATTTCGCATTTTGCTGGCCGTTACGTCTTGATTGCGTTACTTGGAAATCTTGGGATTGAAGTGTACCGGTCATGTACCTGCATGAGGAGCCACGAATTTTATTAAGACACAGTCTTCAGCTCTTTCATACACGGCAGCAAGATGCACCAGGTTAAAAAGAATCGACAAGTACATCGTATCATTGCATTCAACATACTTAAGACATAACACCCATTTTTATGATGAAGTCGTAGTGGTTCACTGTAGATAACTACTTTATGATTGTTTCAGCTTTAGTGCTCCGAGAAAAGAGCAGTAATCTATTGATTGAAAAATAAATAACTCAATTATTGAAATATCACACGCAACGTGAAACACCATTGGCAAGTAATATGACGTAACGAAGACTCCGATGTCACTTTGCTCACAGTTGAAGACCCCACCCCATGTGACCATCCACTCAGGTACAGGCGTCGTCCAGACAAATGCTACGCTGACCATGACAAAGTAAGTCAGTCCTCTTACATCTTTGCGGTTTTTGTTTGCTACGCACTGAAGTAACTCGTTCAGAAATAGCAAAAATAATAAAGGGGTTGTTATCTCCTAAATTTGTGACAAAATATTAAAATTTACCCAACGCGTGTCATGCAAGAAAAAAATTACAACTTGAGATAGAAATAATTTTACTATTTCATGCACCTAATTATGAATTTCACGAACTTGTTCATTGTAAGGCTGGATTGATTTTGCAGAAGAAATTTCTTCACTGGGAATTAAGGTGTCAATAAACAGTCATTTACAAAAAACACGTGCCTAGATTATTGACAGCATAAATTTGTGCAACTTCACAGTGATTAGAAGTGTTAGCGAGTCAAAATCATGGCTAAATCACTTGGACCGGACGGCAACTAAAAATGGGGTCATCCCTGATACATTTCATAGCTGCTTATTGCTAACCCTGAGGAAAATCTGAAAGTTTTAAGCGTGGCGATCCGAACAGCAACAACGTGGCTGCTTGGGTTGGTTAATAATACACAATTAATAATTGAAACTTTTAACACGTAGAATGCTTGAAGCAAGTAAAGGACAAGATAGGACAATGACATGTCCTATCCTTTTTTTTTTCATTCTGCGAACTTAGTAAGGGTTTCCTGGTCAGGCCAATCAGAACAGGTTATTCGTGGCTCGTAAATGTTGTTTTGCATTGTTTCTTTTTTCTATGGAAGACAGTGCTGCTTGCGGTCATTGCGGCAGCGATGAAACTATAGAGCACGTTCTCTGTCACTGCCCTCGTTACAGCGTGCAAAGACGGCAACTAGCTGCTGCGTTAGCTCGCCTTGACGAAACCTTTGTCTGAACAATCAGTGCTGGAAAGACGACATGATTTGTGTCCTCACAGAAAATCAGTGAAGACCTTACTGAACTTTTTGCGTGGCAGCGGCCTATTGTATAGACTGTAGCACCCCAGCTCCCCCCCCCCCCCCCTTTTTTTTTGCGCGCGTCTATTTCCCTCTTCACTTTCTTTCCCATCTTTCTTCCCCATTCCCCCTTCCCCTAGTGCAGGGTAGCAAACCGGATGCTCCATTTTCTGGTTAACCTCCCTGCCTTTCCCTCATTTTATTCTCTCTCTCTTTTCCTTCTTTTTTCTACTGTGATAGAAATAGTTCAATGTTGAATTGCAGGAAGACTATCACGTGTGCGGCGGAAGTGCCCAGCTCACAGCAAGCTCGGCGCTTCAGCTTCTGGCGTCGGCGTTGGTGACCCTGGCCATTGTGACTAGACCGTAAGACTGTAGATTTCACGGCCCATGCCACAAGGTGGGCACGGTGCCGCGCCCTTAGCCACGCACTGGCCAAACATTCCATCAAAAGACAGCGCTGCTTGGGAGACACGAAGAGGACCATCGACTCCCACTGCTTTTGCTCTGGGCTGTTTGAAAAAAGAACAATTTCACAAAACAAAAGATAACGGAAAGGCAACGAGGCCTTTCACGGTGCAGTGGTGTTGTGTCTGACTTGCCACGAGGCAATCGGTGAATATGTGTGTGTGCCGTGAAGACCTGCTCGTCTGACCAAAAGCAAGAAAGAGAAGGACCTCTCATCCTCTCCCCCTGTTTCCGAAGTGCACCGTGGTGACTGACGCTTCCTGTGAACGTGACTTAAGGTGTGATTTTGAAAAGTGACCCTCCCGTCTGAGTTTTGCGACCATGTCATCCGCCTTGTCTAACCACAGCAATGATTGTTAATCACGGGCACCGTTTACCATTACATGCAAAAAAAGCTTAGGACTATATTAGCGAGCGCAGAGTGAAAGAACACCTTTTTTCAAGGGCCTCTGCTCTGTTGTGTAAAGTCATGACAATGCATAACTCCGATTTAGTTTTTTTTTTCTTCTGTAAAATGTTCGGTAACAGATGATTATAAAATGCTCCAGTTACTGTAATTGACAAATTGACTCATCTTCAATTAACATCTGCTGACATCTTCATTCGGAAAAGAATTTCTAGCCAAAATTTAGGTATTGTAATCTGGTAAACAGAAATCCACAAAACCAGTGGATTGCCCTGTAGCAAGAGACGGTGGCGCAGGAAACTGAATACGTTAATATTCAAAGTCACGTTGCAACGTGCCATTTATTTGAATCTGCCATAACTAAAGAAAACGCAGGGAGTGAACTCATACCAAACCTGCAAGGCGATGCGGTTGACATGGCGCCTCGTCGGATAAGACAGCCTCCAATGGAAGGCGCCTACACTTGTGACTGAAACCGTCGTCCAGTGAGACCCACTAAAGGAAGATGAGAGTGACAGCGCAGCCAAAGAGGCTGCTCGTTCAGTTCCGTCACGGCGCGCCTCCTGGTGGTCGTCGTGTGCCTCCGTGAGTGTCTGTGAGTGTCTACATCGCAATGCTGCCAGCGGTGTCGAGAAGAGCTGCAGGCAATACTTCCGTGCGTAGCCACCGTAAAAGTGTGACGGAAAACTCGTCCACGTCAGAGAAAAAAGATGTGGCTCCTGCTCACACACACCGCCGGCAAGGGACGAAAAGTCGGTGTTTCGAATTTTTTTTTTTCCGCAGAGATACGCATTTTCAGGACGAGTGTCGGGGCATGCTCGCCGCCCTTTCACACTCTCCGTGAATGCTTTCTTTTTTTTTCTTATATTGCGTGCATAGCGTACAAACACTTACTTTGTTCGAGTAGCGAATGAGTTCGTTCGTTCGTTGAGGCTTCGTTATTCAATTTTATTTTTCACTGGAAACGTGCGAATATAGAATCGTCGTTTTCCATTCTAGCTCGTTTCGCGTATTATATTGTAAAGAGTAAAATTCAGCGGGTTTCTGACGTTGCTTCATGTTTGCGCGCTTGGGTGTGTTGGCGTGCGCGTAGCGTTCAGTCTGACTGGTCGTGTTCTGTGTTACATATTACAGACGTAAATCCGCCAGCCGCATTTCCTCGATGCTTGCGCACCACGGCGGCGTTTTGCTTCTATACCACGACGGTATGCTCTCCAACACATGCATTAACGTTATTCCTGACGGTTGCCCGTGGATAAAAGCATTTACAAGCGTATTCGCCCCTAAGCTAAAAAAAAAAAACATTCCGCTTCGCACTTGACTTGCTTGTGCGATGGGTGCTGCACGTGTAGGCCCGCTTGATACCATTGATCCGCCTTAATCCACCTAAAGGTCCTCCAGCTAGATAAACACAAGAAAGCGCGAATAAATAAGATAACCTCCACCCAAGAAGCAACCTCTTAGAAGAATCCACAGCTGGCGCGTATTCAAGAGCTACAAACGGACAAAAAAAAAAGAGAATAAACAAAAGCAGTAAGAAAAAAAGCTGAATAGGGTGCATTTCAGGGTTTCTACTTCAAATATGACGTGGTTATCTCGCAAAATATCGTGAAAAACAGCTCGAATATGTCTTTTTATTTAGTTCATGTGCCTGAATGTCGTACGTATGTGTGTTAAATAAACAAAAAAGCGTGCTCCCAGGAATACGAAGTGCTATGCGCGCAAAGCAAAAGTTTTTATACGTGTTAGGTGAGGTTGCGCGCAAAGTGCATGCAAAGTGCATGCAGGCTTTCACTGTTTATGGGACGATGGTGACGGAATGCGTGGTTCACCGAATAGGTTACAGATTGCATCTCAAAAGCGACCAGAAGTCTTGAATAAGTACTCCTCGCGGGTAACTTTTCAGATTACTAAAAAGTGTACTGACCACTCAGGGCGATGCCCTCCAGCACATTTGATGGCGTACTCAGCTTTAGAGTCTCCTGGCTCCAGTAGTGTTGAACCGGAAGTGCAAAAGCAAACTGTCTAAGCGCATCTGGGACAATTATGCCCAAAAGAGCAAACAAAGAAACAAACAAACAAACAAAGAAAGAAAAAAAAATAACAACCTTGAGAGCCGTGGTGAACCGCAGTTCCCTCGCCAGCGTTCCACTAATTCCGTGTGACATTGCACGCTTGCTAACGAAACAATCATGCCATTGGTGTCTCCGTACATTTATACTATTATGATTAATTTATGCTAGTACACAAACAGGATCGCCTAATTTATTCGCAAATGGTAGGAAACACTCGTTTTGATGTTGTGCGTTTTTCTACTGTACAAGATACGTACATTTTTTTCCTAGAGAGACGTGATAGCTTGCAGTTGATTTTCGCGAAGGCGCACTTGTGTAAGACAGAGTGCGCAACGCGCTAGTAAAATGTCCACGTGTTATGATACTTTGATTGATGAATATTTATGTATGAAAGTTTTTACTGAACAATTTACGGTTCCTTTTTCCCCGATAGCCAAGGGCTATCAGAGCGTCTTCAAAGTATGGTAATTTCTAAACTATACATGTGGCGCTTGTGGCGAGTTGTCTACGGTTAGTTTATCACAGTTCATCATTAGTTATGTTACAGTATTGGATGCCTGTATCGAAGAGGCACGTAATATTATTACATGATATACATGCAATGCACGGTCATTTTAAAATTACCAAGATGATTAGTCGAATAATTTAATGCTGTCATTCTCATGTTACCGAGGTTATCTCATGTTGGACCTGTTTTCCCGGTATACCGGTTTCAACGTTCTACGCAACATTGATATGCGATTGGCAGGTTTGAAAAGCATGTCAACTCAAAGAAATAAATGAATCTCGTTTTGTTTTCTATCCACGAAAATTTAGGCCTCTTATATTCCTTTACAGGGCATAGTAGTTTCCCATTTTTGATAGCTTTTACGAAGATAACGCTTTTCTTTTATTTTATTTATCTGTGGAACCTAGAAACCAATGCTAAAAATGCATACTTTATAGTTGTCATTTTAAACCGTACAGGTGCTTATAGCTTTATCAGCAAAGAACCGCGAATATCACTCCGGATCACTGTTTTAATAATGGGCTATAGTTTCAAACTTTAAGAGATCTCCCCAACAGGATCACGATTACAGCTTCAATTAGTGATGTTAAAGCACGCCGAATAATATATGTTACTGAGCCATAAAACAGTGTAGTTGTGAAACAAAGAGAAAAGTGCTGTCAGTCTACAAAGTCATGCTAGGCATAACACATAAATGTGATAGAAAGATAGAAGCGGAAACACAGTACTTTGGCGCATGTCACTAAAATATATTATGCATATCGCAGTAGCTATGCTTCGGTGTGAAATGTACTCAGTAGAAAAAGAAACATAATTGGCTGCTTAGTTTTTACGGTTATTAGAGATCTTAGCGAACAACAAAATATAGGCAGTGCTGCGAATAGAAAGTGTTATCAGGACGTGATAAACACATTGGCCATTTTGAACGACTATTTTCACCCATCAATAAATAAATCAAGATGCCATAATTCTATTTCAAAGCACTGCATAGCCAGTGGAAGACAGCCGAATTTTGTGGTGTGTCTGCGCATTTTCTAGTTGATCCTGGTTAATAATATTATCTAATGAATTTGCAAATAACAAGATGGTATTTCTTCATGCAAAATTCAATTAAATACTCATAGAACGTGCCCATTATATAGGCTTGGTGTATTCAATGGATGAAAAAAGTTACTTCGCCATTGCTGACGAAATGCGGCACGCGGAACATCCCGTCTAGAATGGCACAATGTATTCAGCAGCTTGGTCGTTCCGCACAAAGACGCATAGTATACTTAAGCAAAATCTATACATCGAATTGGCTAGGGTTAAATTGGAAAGGTAATTAAGAATTGTGTAATACCTTCGCAAATACGAACTCTCCGACTGAAAGGATTGGTATCCAAAACAATGCATCAGAAGAACTGTTTTCTCAGTGGCACCTCCACATGGTAGCCATGGCTTGTTTCCAACTCCTTAAATGGTTCTCTGCCCATACAGCCAGTGAATATGATGGTTCCTCAAATCAATTTCGGGTACTCCCCCCCCCCCCCCGCCAAAAAAAAAACAGTGGAAAATGAATATGGTCACCACTACAGTCGATTGAAGTGTACTAAAAGATCAGGCTTTCATTAGAGTGAAGTGCGAGGTTCATGTATGTATTCCGGAATTACTTATTATTAAAAAAAAAACGTCATCACGCAGCTGACAAAAGGAAAAACTTGACGCTATGAAGCGAAAGTTTTAGTTGAGACTAAAGTGAGCCAGAGCTTGTAAGAACCAGAGCTGTTGACTATTAGAAGTGCTAATTGGTATCGTTACTCGGAAGTATACTAAGAGGCCTGTATCTTGACCAGAAAAGTGAATCACGCTTAGAAAGTCTTGGAAAACATTGGCTTTTGAAATTGACGAGAATAATTTTTTTGTTCAATACA